TTTGTAATTTAGTCAATAGGTGATATATATATATATTATACACACACCCATTATCTTTATATGCATGATGCATTGAATCTTACAAGAAAAGTTCAGGCCAACCCAACCCACCAGCCACAAAAAAACTCTGATTAAATATATACTGTTACGATATTTCACTGTATAATTAACTGTAGATCATGTGATGAGGAGGAACTTCCTAATTTACCACCAACTTAATTTGCTTGTTGAGTGTTGATCGAGCATCCTAAAACTTCAATTAAACTACTAACTAATGATTAAATAAATAATTAATAATTAATCAATCCATTGGAGAAAGTGGATTTTGTAGTCTAGCTAGCTTTCAACATCTCTCTCTTTATATATCCATGTAATTAAATATGTTGTCAGCTTTTAAGCATCGCCCCATTGATTGATGATCTTTATTAATACTAATTAGTTAATCAGTTATTAATTAGCAAGGGTAAGCGGGAAGCCTCCATAAATTAATTATATATTCATGTTTCATTTGATTACTGCTTAATTCACAACACCAAGGAAACTTAAAAGCCCCTAATTAATTATCAATCTTGGCCTTGGCCACATGCTTGCATGGATCTACATGCCTCCCCTCGCACTGCTAACATGTAGTTTAGAAATAAATATTTGTCTAATCAAAACCTAACTTAATTTAGTTAAGAAATATATCTTTAATTAAAAAGGTTGTGGATGAATCTCCACTCCCGGATGATGTTGAACTAAAAAATAAGTTAATTACTAATTACTATACATATATCTTTAGAGAACGACGTTGTAATAGTCAAACGAGCTTCTGTTATAGTACGACACATGACATCAATTCTGAACAATTAAAAATAATTACTAATTCCTGTATCATATGTCACTCTCATTTAATTTCAAGCAATTACTTTTAAGTGTGGTTCATATCTTAGAGCTAATATGGGACGATATAAATAATTTTTTTGGTATATAAAAAATAAAATATATCACCATTTGCAAATAAACATTAAAAGACAAAAAAAAAAAGAAAGTTTGGGTAACATGTTCATGCATGCATATAGACTGTGGATTATTGGGTGACATGAATTTGATTAAGCATTTTAAATGATTTATTATTTTGGGGTTAAGTTAATAGAGTTGACTAATAGGAACTCTAACAGAACCAACTTGGACTAAACAAAAATTGTTGACTAATTATAGGAGGAAATGATTCAATTTGGGTCAAATTAATTATTATAATATACAATATATAGAGATTTGAATGACATTATGCCAGATGAATATTCCTACTAGAAGTTTCGAAATATTAATTAAGTAATGAAAAATGAATTTTTTGTTGTCTGTTTTCTGATTAGGAAATTTAGGTTGGGCTTGACGAACACCCACCGACTAAAAAATATGCAAAAAAGAAACCCTCGGTGGAACCTTACCCAACTTGCCAACTTGCTCAACGCCTTGAAATTTCTCTTCATTTTCATATAATTATATTTTATTCGACTGGCAAACTAAAAATACATATATTCATTTGTTGGCATCTAATTAACCATGTGATTTCTTTTAATCTAGAGTTAAACATAAATTAAAATATGTGGATAACTAGCTAGATAGAGCAATCTCACAGATGTTTTCTTTATCTACGTCTTTTAAAAAAATTTCAATCTTGGTTTCGATGTTCACATAACCCACTGAAATTTGTGTGACACTAGAAATAGCTAAATTATTTTTCTTTGGAGAAAAAGGAAAAGAAAAAAGGATGGATTATGAAAGCGGCAGTTTTGGGCGTGTTGTGTGAAAGTTGTAGAAAGCCGGCGGCCAGTTTTGAAAGTATTATTTACAACTACGGAACGGAACGGACGGAGAAAGCACAGGAGAGTGGAATAATCCGTAAGTGGTGGGGTTTCCAAAGTAACCTATTTTTTGACTTCCTCCTTTTATTTTGTCTCTATTTGTTTGGATTAATGCGTTGAATTGAAGATTTAATTTGTTCATTTTGTTGCAATTGTTGAATTCCATCACCAATTAGTATGGATTTGGTCGGACCATCTCCCATTCATTGTATTGAAAAAATAGTATGGATTTTCAGTTTTGAATTTTGTTATTATATTCAAAATCTTTGATAATTGCCTTTAATCTTCAATCTTTTCGACTCCAAATGATAATAGTTTTTTTTTTTTTTATTATTCACCTTTCTGTTTTAATTTACTTTTTTCTTTCTAATGAATTCCTTGACAAAATCATCCACTTTACTATTTAACCCACCAACTTTCATTTTTAAAAAAAATAAATAAATATACAGGATTTGATTCGACTGATTAATTAATTAATTTTAAGTTTTTCTAGTATTCTAGTACAGTGGCAGTTTAACATGATATATATCAAGAATTGACTTCAAATTCATTTATTATAATAATTTTATTCTCATTTCATATTTCCCCATCGTGTGTTAAAGAGTAAAATTTCATGAATTCTTTAATTTTTATTTGTTAATAAACTATGTATCTAATTTCAAAATTGCCCCTATAGCTCAGTGGTAGAGCGTCAGTCTTGTAAACTGAAGGTCTGTAGTTCGATCCTGCATGGGGGCAAGTTTTTTTTTCTCCCTGTTTTTTATTTTCAATCAGAACCGAATTACATAAATGAAGTAAATCTATATCCCCAGAATTCCTTGAAGCTTCAGATACTGCCATAAGCCAACTCCATAAAATTGGGCACAACATCAGCCAAAGTCGAACCCACTGCACTGATCATCGACCTTGCCGTGCCCAAACTTCTTGTGCTATTAACAAGCTTGAACCACTGGCTACTCGGGTCACACGCCGAGTCCCGAGCCAAGCATTTGCAAGCATTGGTCACGACAACATTGGTGGTTGGATCCACATCCAAGCAAACAGTGGAGCCATTGCTGGCCCTTGAGGAAATATGCATCTTTGAATCGGAAATCATGTCCCACCTTGAGTTTGAGAGTGTGCATATTATTCCCATCTTGGCTTGCTTCCCCATTTCCTCTGCTTGGATGCAAAAATATGTCCCTTTTATTGTTAGAATCTTCTGTGGTGAGTAGTACCAAGGGTCCGACTCGGCACAGGGCCCTAATTTTAAAGGATCTAGTAGTGATTTTCTCACCACGCATAACCCAGTTGATGGGTGGAAAATTAATTTGTATGGTCTTGTTTCTGTTATTCCTGGTCCTGCAATTCATACCACTCCGTTAAACTATCTATAAAAGATTAAATTTATCATTACCCTAATTTAGTAATTTAAGCTTCTAAGTTACCTTGGAAGGAAGATTGAAGGGCGGAGATGCGCTGGAGGAAGCTCGAATTTCGAACACCACACCAATTCCAATCAAGAATCCCGTAATACTCATTCAATCCAACAACCCCTTCTCTCAAATAGTAACTCCCAACGAGTGTCCATAGCGCCCAATCCAGGTCAAGCTCAGCTGCAGTGGCCAAGAAGCAACTCAAATACCTATTGTCATTCAAATTAGTGCCTCTTTGATCCACTCCAAATTCACTTAAAAACAGAGGCATCCCTTGATCCAACAAAAATCCAGACATTTTCATGAGGTTGTTCACCACTCTTCCGCACACCTGATTGGGGTTGCCGGATGCCCACGAGGAGCCGTCTGAAAACCCGTACCAGTGGACCTCGTACACTAACTTTGCAGTGAATGTGAGGTTCATGGGCTGGTTCGGGTTGTTGAGGAAAGACAAGTCCTTGTCGTAGTTGAGCCCTGAGAGAATTACAAGAACGTCTGGGTTTGCCGAATGAACTGCCTCCGCTCCTCTTTGCATGTACCTTCCACCATTCCATTCATAACAATGATATGTAATGAATCTCAGAGTTCATAATTCAAGTCTCTCAACTCAAATTCTTAATAAATTTTGCATCCGATCATTCTCCAAAATTTGTAACAAAAAAGATGACTTAAAGCCTGTTTTGTTAATATTTTTTAACCTCTTGAAAGTTTTGTACTAAACTTTCCTTTTCAAAGTCTACTCAGTTTTTATATTTTTCTATTTTTTGAGATAATAGAAATTTGAATTTCTTTTTATGGAAGATAACATAAACATAAAAGTCAGACATATATCTTGATAATGATATCTTGATAATGAATTATGTAGTATATAATAATTACTTTCTATCATATATTCGTAGATACATAATAAACAAATATAACAAAAGTATATAATACATGTCAATTAATAATTATTTATAGTCAATTTTGATCTTAATCCGTGATCATTCATATAAATCTAACAAGTATATATAGATTAAAAAGGCAATATAAACACCATTAAATAAATATATATTTTTAAGTGTAATAAAAAAATTAAAAAAAGATTAAAATAATAATATAATCCAAATCAAACTCAAATGTAACGTAAAAGACACGACAAGTCACTCTTATGCTAAATAAAAAACATGAAGAATAAAGGCAATGGAATGACATGTCTCTAAATTAAGAACTGTAACTAATTGAAAAAAAATATATATATTTTTAGCTAAATAATAAAAAAAAATGTTAAATTGGAGTTGAGAATTGAAAGTGGAACTGTAACTAATTACCTGTACCAATCGTTAACATTCTGTTTTGGGCCTCGAAGCTCGTTCCTGAGGCTCATACCAACAACATGGGCCACGCCGTTAAACATGGCGGCCATTCGAGTGAGGCCCTTAATCCACGTCTCCGGGTTGAAATACTGATCCCCGAAGAACCCATTTCCGTCGAAATTGCTGCAGCACCACCCCGGCTTGCTTATGTGATTGTCCAATATCACCATCACCTCCGCCTCCCCCAGCCCCTCCACCACCGCCTGGAACGCCTTTATCAGGGGAAGATCGACGATGGAGGGGTTGTTGGCTTGGATTCCGGCGATGGATTCCGGCAGGCCCAGCCGCTGGAACGACTGCCGGACGGTGAGGGAGGCCAGCGAGTCGTTGGTGGCTAAGAAGAGCGGCCAAGTGAGCCTCACGCAGTTGAACCCTAGCGATGCAATTCGCTTCGAGATCTCCTCAATCGGCTGCTTCGAAAGCCCCTCCGCCACCACCGCCTCCAAATGCGACACCCAATTCACGCATCTTAGCTTCACCCTGTCGCCCCCTTCGTCCACGATCCACCGTGAATCGGTGTGCAGCGGCAGCCCCGCGGCGTGGAGCCACACGGCGGCGACAAAGGCGATGGAGATGAACCCCCTCCTCACGATCACCATCTTCTCTGCTCTTAGTTTTACTAATTTTATTTGATCAGTTTCAATTTCTTCTCCATCTTCAACTCAATTTTGAAATATTTTATGATTGGAAAATGGGGGAGCCAATTTTGAGGCTTTGGGGGGAAGGGAAGTAATGACGAGGGCTTTGAAAGCTACATGCCTAGAGACTTCCAAGGCAATAATTAATTAAAGCTTTACCAGTTTGGTGAAATTGAAATTGTGTAGTTTCTCTCTTTCAAGTCACTCATTCTTTTCTCTGCTAATTTTTCTACCTGGGATTGGAAGGAACTTCATACTCCAAACTTCATACACCAGGAGAGGACTTTTAGTAAATACTCTACTTTCTAAAAGTTGACCAGAAGCAGAAAATTAGGTAGCTTGAGACTTACTCTGATTTAGTTCAAATGAAATTGACACTGAAATTAGAATTCTAACTCAATTTAATTTTTTTTTTTTTGTTTTTTAATATATCGTGTGTGTGAGGTTGGGGAATTCGTTTTGACTAAGATCCACTATGATTTAGAAGATTTTGTTTTGGCTAAGATCCACTATGATTTGAAAGATTTAAATATGAGTAATCCTTTCATGTTAGAAGATAAGTTGATTTTAAATTTATTACTAGGTAATTAAAAATATTGGAAAAATAACTTTAATTTATACCATTGATTAATTAATAAAATATAATTAATCTTGAGAGAGAAATTTATTATTATTTGACATGTTCAAGTTGACCTATTTCGTAAATTTAATGGTATAAAATTGCTATCACCGCTTCTCCCAATAATTTCTCAAATAGAATCCCCATCTCCCTTAACTAAAGTTTCAGACTATGATTGGATTATGTTCATGTGCCGACTGCGGATGGAAAATGAACCGAGAATACCGAACTGACCGATTCGGTTTGTTCATTACGGTTCGGTTTGTTCAATATTCTAAACTGAACCAACATTCACCCCTACTTTCTCCCTTCCGGCTCCGATACCCCGGGACTGATTCTTTCTACTCTGCACAGCACGACCGCGATCCACCACGCCAGGGCCGTCACTCCCTCCCGTAGACTCTGCTCCTGGTCCTTGCAGCAGTTCAAAGCCATGTAAGTTCAACATTCTTCCACACTCAATTTCTGACATCGTAATTGTGTATTTTTCCTGTTGATTCTATGGTTGGAGCAAAAATTTCGAAGCAGATTTTATTTTTCCATTTTGATGCGTTGTAGGCGTAGCAACTTTGTGCACATGCTTAGCCAACATTCTGGAGCTTGGTCATTTTGTCATTTTGAACAACATTCTCTCGGCAGGATCCTGATTATCACTTGTATTGCTCTTTTGTTTGTGTTTTATTTCAGGAGACCTGTGAAGTTGACCCTTCGCTGTCCTTCTAGAGTGGGACAAGTTACAGTTGACCCACAGCCTGATTTTAGCTTCGATGATTTGCGGGTGGAACTTAATTCCTTGGAAGAGAAGCTAAAGACGTCTTCAACGCCTTTCACTAAAACACCATCGCGGTATCATATTTTTCTATATATGAAAAAACACAATGAATTTTGTCCATGCTTCTACTTTTCTTTGTTCAATTATTTTTGGTTTTCAATGTTCTTAGAGATTTCTCTGTCACAAAAACTGTGGAGAGAAGCTCCAGGCCTTTTGTAATGGGGGTGTATGAGGATGAACTACAAGACATATTTAGTGATGGTGAAGATGTTCATGACCAAAGTCCAGTTGTTAACCACTTCAATTGTGATAAAATTTTTCTCAGGTACTGCCGCTTATGTCTTTCTTTTTTCTTTTAAAGTTACAATTGGTTTTATTTGATGAATATTTGTATGAAAATTTCCCCGTATATGTTTTTCTATCTGAAATTTAGTATAGAAAATATACTTTGTGTGATTTTATTCAACTTTTAAAGGACTTGTTCATGTTTTTAAACTTTTCTTTGTCATGTAATTTGCAAAATTTACGATCTGCTGCTATATTTTTATTTAAATTATTACATTTTTTACTTTCTACCATGAATTTTTATGTTTTTGCTTGCCTTTTAGTGATAGTGAAGATTCTGACAATGAATCATCTATTGGAGCACGGGCCTATCTGATGGAGGACGTTGATTTAGTGGAAAGTTATGTAGCTCAGCTAACACATGATCATCAGCTTAATATGAAGGTATTTAGTGGAGTACATGATTCTCTGTGGGAGAAGGTCTTGTAAAGCAACAATTTGATATTAAATAAATTCTTTGATACTTCTTGGAGTTTTAGATGATATACTGCAGCATTTTAGATATTATAGATGGGATGTATGTGAGATGTTAGTTAAACTGGCATTTTTTTGGTACAATAACTTGTTAATTGTAGGATTTAAATTTGAATGCTGTCATAGCTATACTTTATTCTTGTTTAGTCTTACTAAAACTATATGATTGTGGAAACTGTGAAGAACTTTTTATTTCACCAATAGAGTAACAATGTAGATGTATATCTAGCTAATCTTCCATTTTGTTTTGATGCTTTTTTAATTTGGTTTATAAACAGGAGGAAATCAGAAACCAACTTACAAGGGTGGGGACAGAGCTTACAATGTTAAATGAAAAGACAAATGTTGCATTTTCTCAAATTGAGAAATACTATGAGGCAAGACGAGAAGCTGACCGGAGACTTGATACTCAATATCAACGTCAAATGTATGCTTTTTTATTATTTTTGTTTGATCATTATCCTTGATTCAAATTTAGCAAAACTTTTACTGTCGTTATACATTTATTTAGTCTTTCACAAAATTCTCTTCATAAGAAAATATTAGTATGCCATGTATTCCTTGTATAATTATGTGACTCAAGTGATAAAGTTGAAGGTATTTCTTTAATAAAATAAATGTTTGGGCAAGGAAGTCCAATAACGTGTTTCCAGTATTTCTCCTCTTTTTAATAAAAATATCCACGTTTTTTTTATTCTTTAGAGTAGCCGAATTGTATTCAACCATTCCAACATTTAATTTGCAATTTTTGCTTCTCCATGCTCAAATCTAATCAACTAGATTTTTATTTACAATTTATATATATATATTTTCTTTTTAAAAGGTTTTAATTTGTTCTTTGTGCTTCTTTTCTATATCTTCCTACTTATGAATGATTGTGTAGAAGCCCCTGCTAACCTTGAAATTTTACCTGGTGCTTATCCTTTACCTCTGCTTTTAGTGCAGAAGGCCTTGATAAGTACCTGACTGATATTCAGCGGGACCATGAACTAATATCACAAATAGAAGAAAGAAAAATAAGAAGTGATGCGGCTTTTGAAGAAGCCAAAAGAAAGGAGAAGGCCGCTCTAGAAGAAAAAAAACGTCAAGAAAAGGCTAAAGCAGAAGCCGAGGTTTGTTGTCAGCCATTTGAAAACGATGAATGGTTTTTCATGTTTTTTTTCATAAGTGTAGCATTTTACTCATATAGATGGCGTCTGGTAAAAATTAAAACAATTGTTTCTTCAGCTGTTGGCTTCTAATCAGTTCTATTCTAACTCTATTCAACTTTCCTTTAAGTTCTAACCAAACAATATGAGGATCATTTCCCAATGGTTTAAGTTTGCTGTGTTCTTGATAATCAAAGACTTCATCATTTACTTTTTGAGTAAAGCTATCTGTTAGGACACAAGAAGTTACAGGACCTTGCTACATGAGGGCTCTCTCTCTCATACCTCTTCCCTTCTAGGCGCAGGCAAAAGCCAGAGCTGAGGAGGCAAAGAAAGCTGCCATAGAAGCTGAGAGGAGAGCAATGCAAGAAGCAGCTGCAAGGGAAGCCGCTGAAAACTTAAAAAAGGTTGATGTTGGACAAACGCAAGAAACTACCGAAAGCCTGCTAACTACCAAACCAGTAAACTCAGTCGGCCAACCTAAAGGACCTGCTCCAGGTGGAACAAACTTGTCAAAATCACTAGGTGATTTCCAGGATGAATGTGATAATAGCTTTCTGCTTTTGTAAAAATTTGATATATTTAAAAATTTTGAACTCTTTCTATTTTTTTTTTCCATTCTATCTTTGATGCTTTCACGTGCATTTCTCTCTACTCAGGAGATAGATAGGCATGTGTCTTTTTGTGCATGGTCTACAATCTTTCTTGATTGAAGATTTCATCTAATATGAAAATTTTGGGCAAATCTCATGTCAGGTAGCATGATTAGAGCCTCAGAAAATGCTTTGACTTTAGAGAAGGAGAGACTACAGAAACTTAAGGAGGTAGAGGAGGGAAACCAAGCGTTGAGATTGAGTTCAAATAAGGTTTGACATTAACAAATATTTTGAAAGCTTATTATTTTGTTGGTTCAATATGCAACAGATATTCTAGGCATGGATATTCGTTGAATGCAATTTACTGCTTAAGTTAGCTTATCATAGTTAATATTGATTACCATGTGATTGAATGTATCTCTCAGCCTTTTTTTAAAAACTCATCTTAGAATGATGTCATTACTATAAATCAAATGGGGAGAAAATTTTAATTTTTCATTATGCACTTAAATTTCTAATGATTGACTATCTTTCTCTCTAAGACCTGTGATCTGATATCTTATTTGGATACTGATATCATTGTAATATTAAATACCTATCTTTACTTCTCATTAGGATTTTAGCTCCCATGAAAGGCATATCGCTAGGTTAATTCGACAAATAAGGGGGACAAAAGAGAATGTCAGGTATGTTGTATAGCATTTTTGCAATTGAAATTGTTTTGATTAGCACTTACGTTTTTCATGTGCATTTATTCTCTTTGCAACTTGCAAGCTTCTTTGTTAGTATTTATTTAGTTACAAATCCCTGGCTTCCTGTTGTCTGTAGATTTCGTTGGTTACAATTTTAGGATGCTGAAGTTAGATTTCCACTTCTTTCTTCTAGGCTACATGATGTTATTACAATCTACAATGTTTAGTTTTACCTTGACTATTGTTATGGATTGTGAAGGGTTTTCTGCCAATGTTAGTATTTTAATACAAAAATATTTCTAAACATACCTTACCTTCCCTTGTGAGTCTCAAATCTGTACTATACTTATTCGAGAGCCACCAATCATGGAAATATAAGATGGGGCTTTAGTTTCTCTAAGTGGAACCCGTTCAGAAAATATTTGAAATAGTTGTAAGGTTACAGTTTTTGTCACTTGTGTTTTTCTACCTGTATCTAATATTGAGGAAAGCATATATTTTTTTCTTGTTAAAAAAGAATATTGAGGAAAGCATATTGATTGGTTGTGATGCACTATCTGATTCAGAACAAAAGCTAGTGAACTTCTGAAGATTTTCATGGATCCGCATTGTCCACAAACCATTAGCATTGCGGCATTTGCAAAGAAGGTAATGCCATCTCATTAGCCAGTTGATCGTGCATCTTGCTTTTATGTTACACATGATAGTAGTAAAGTAGTTGGTTATGCTATGCCCAAATGTTTGGACATAGCAGTTCCTTGCATTCAAATTTCAATCTTGAAATCTTGGGTTCAAAGCATTGGAGTTGCATACCAAAATAATAATGAGTTTCTTGAAAAAAAAAGTTGTCGGTTCAGGAGCCCTTATTTTGAGTTAACATAGAGATTAGGAACATTCTAGGATTCTGGTGGTAAGAAAGGTTTTCACTTATCATTTATGCCACCTAGTAGATTTCTATTTTTAAAAATATCATATCACTGATGAAAGGTTTTGTGTTTGGCATTTATATAAAAAAATGTAGTTTCTTTAGTTATATTTTAATTTAAATGTGGTTAGGCATGTTGAATTTATATACTCAAATAGGTATAGGTATGCTATGTGTAGTAACTAGACCACTATTTTCTTTTCTTGTGAATTAATGATATGAAATGTTATTGAGGAACTGTCATCCTTGGTTATCTCTTCCATTTCTCAATGGCCAAATTTATTTACAAAAATGTTTTCCTGTTTTACTTTTCTATGCAATTGGGATCTTGTTCTTGAAAATTTTCATATTGTAGTGGGCACAGGAGCTTGAAGCTTCTAACTTTAATAGCTCTGATATTCAGGTCGTTTCTCAATGTGAAAGTTCAGATAATGCACCTTTTGCATGCGGTCATGTTATTGTTCTTGTTACCTCACAGGTATTGGACCCTTCACTTAGTTTGAGTTACAAGCTTTAAATATTAAACTGAGGGGGTGGGGGGTTGTTTTTTTTTTTTTCTTTTTCATAATTGCATCATTCCATATTTCAATATCAAAATAACTCCCTGCATCGGATGCATTTCAAAACTAACCTCTACTGGAAAAATGTCGGTACAACCTTCATATCAGGACTACTGCCTGGTCAAAACTGAAATCTACGAATCTATATGGGGCATGGGTGATGATGGTGCATGCTACAAACAAGTATATTGATATTGTAGTATAACTTGAAATAGCATCATATTAATTGAGGAATGGGTTCTGTACAGTTATGCTTATCTCTAACAGTACTGTCTTTGTTGGACCCCTCTGCATTGGTTATATTTGTTGAATTTATTGTCGTCTACTAAATATAGATGCAATAAGGCATGGTTTATGTTGTGGATTTTTCCATAATTATATCTTTTCTTACACAAACTGAATGCAATAGCTATTGTATGCTAATACTAGCAAATTATTTTTAATCAGGTCCCAAGCGCTATGGTTCTCCTTCTTGCAGAGTTCCATAGAGCTTGCATCTACACAGTCCCGAAGCACACAGGATATTCAGAGGTGAGTTATGTCAACTCAGACAGTCCTTGTCTTTAATCATTCCTGTTCCTGATATGGTTATACCCTGCAGTGTCGCTTCTTCCGTCTTCTCACTTTGATGGCAGTGTCCTGCGTTCTTAATGAAATACAGTCTCTTGATTGACAACGATATTTTATGTTGCCAAAAACTTTTGGCATTGCATGATTCAATCTTAACTTTTGAACGACCGGAAGTTTCAGAGAAGAATCAATACATGTTTTCTGAATGCAATTCTTTAAATACTATCTACGAAAAGATATCTTTTAGTGGACCTTTTTGCCTGACCAGTTTCGTCTCTATAATCATTAGACTCCTGCAGCATAAAGTGCTGTATCAGAATATGCTACTGGCTTAGTTTGGAACAATATCTGTGCTTCATGCGTCTAGAACATGTTAACTAGAAAGGAAATAATGTTATTGCAAATGAAAATAAGTTCATCTGTTTTAACCCGTTTTTTTTTCTAATTCATGTGAGGGTGGGAATTAGAACCTATGATCTTTTGGTCAAGGATATAGCTCTTAGCTAATCGAGCTATGCATAATTTGGCTTTATCTGTTGTAATCTTATTCCAATATACAAGTAGATTAATGCTCCTTACTCCTTAGCTTGCTCAGGTTTTAAGATGGATAAGTTCCACCTATTTAATTGAAAATTGCTAATTTCAAAATTCAAGCCACTTTTGGATTAGTACAAATGGCCTAGCACACTTATGTTGTCTCTCTCTCTCTCTTTTTATTTTTATTATTTTTACTATTTTTTAAATATATTTATTTCTTTCTTATTTATGCGGTTCCTCACTTGCATATCGTATTAATTTTAACACATATAATTGCCATAGGCCGCCTTCGAATCCAAAGTGTCTTATTACAAAACTATTGGATTTCGAGAGGATGATGGAAAGATGGAAAATATTAAGGATTATTTAAAGCGGCTAGAACCATACATGAAACTTTATGGGGCCTTGATTCAGGTTTGTCCCTTCTTATGGCTCAGGAAGTATCAAAATATTTACTTTTTGCAACTTATCATTTTAGAGCATTATATAATTAAGCCGATCGGACTTACTTTCAATATCTAGTTATACCTATAGACTATAGTTGAGCACAGCTCAACAATTAAGACCTATAAAGTTCGAACACCACTCCACAAAAAAAAGTCCATCGTTCTATGAAACAAAAGTACCTTATAAGAATGCATAATTTGGCAGACAGAAGTAGCTGGTGTTCGGAACTTACATGGTCTTGAGGAAGGCTGGGCGTGGCTGGCAAGATTTCTAAATACGGTTCCTCCCAATATATATACTGCAACCGCACTCAATGCATTCTTACAAGTAAGTAGAGTAGACATTAAATTACTGAGCAGTGTAAAATATCGTGGTTTGACCCCCTTTTTGTATCATACAGACAGCAGGCTTTGCATTGTTCAGAAAATATAAATCTCAGTTCAGGAAGCTTCTGAACATCATCTCCGACAACTTCTTGAGTGCCCTCAAAGTCAAATCAAAGGAGAACCAAGGATTGAAACAGGTCGTCCTGATGATAGAATCCTATTTGGAAGATAGAAAGTTCCTTCAAGAACCAGAAGGAAGAAGCTTACAGGGTTCCTTGTTGTCAAATGTAATGGTGCCCGACGCAGATCACCAAGAATCATACGGCCGTTCAAGTAATTCATATTTCTACTGATAACCCCCCTCTCCTGAACTTTTTTTGTTATTAGTTTAGTGGAGGGAATGTAACTCTGCCTACTTAGCCTTGTTGTATCATTTATAACATATACATTCTTCAATACAAAGGAAAAAAAAACCATTTCTCCCATTTCTCCTTCCATTTTAATTTCTCTAAATCCTTGGCCTCTTCTAGCAACATGAAGCCTTTAGAAAAATTAGAAGTTGAACTAAAATCCAGCCCTGTTTGAAGTGTATACTGTGGATATGGTGTAAGAACCGGGAACTTTCTAAAGTTCATGTAAACGAGGAATAATAACTCTATTTAATGAAAATTGAAAATGATGAATTTTAATAAAGGAGAAAACTTCTGCTTAGTTCATGATAAACAGGTTTGGAAGATTGTAAGAACTTAATAATGAAAATTGTAACAACTTAAACCAATATGTACAAGGATGTACACACACTAAAAAAACCCTCAAAAAGAAAACAAGCTGAATGATAACATTGACACGATCTCCATCTCTGAAGCTTTTGCGAACCCTTTACATGTTATTGAGTTTATAATTCTGGACAATTAGTCTGTGATGAGGCAGACTGAGAAAACATCCTCCAAATATACAGACAACCCCTGTAGAACAACAATGGTGTTAATCGAAACTATCATTTAACTGGATAAGTTTCATAACATAATCAAGACGGTACAATAATCTATACCTTCTAGTTGTTTCAAGACCATGAGCTTCAATGAAGCTTTGAAGGTGCAAAACTAGGATATACAGGAGTCTTAGGTACTGCATGGCAAAACTTCTAATAAAGCTTTATTCTAGTCTGAATAAAGCTGCGGCAGATGGGGCACAACTCGAGATTTTCTCCGCAATCACAACATGTCTGCTCAATAGGACGCAGAAGAATCAGTGAATAGTCTACAAGGAGAGTGAGTTTAGTTAACCAGGGTAATTATAGGCTTTGGATTACCTGATGCCCACAACCAAAAGCCATGTCCTTTGGATTAGTGAGACAAATGGGGCAAAGCTGCAAGGTCAAGCCATTTTTACAATCATAAAACATTAGAAGAGGTCCAAATAACAGGTGAAGTAGTGAAAAATTCAAGGGAGTTGAAATAGAAGGATAGATGGGGCCAAGCCGACCACCAGGAAAAGTAAAAGTTTAATGGCTACCAACAAAGAGGTTAGAAACCTGGTTGTCATAATGAGAACTTGAAGATGGAGCTGTGCCAACTCCTTTGTTATTTCTACTATGTGCAGGTGTCCTGCTCTGAAAACTGTTAGAGTGTGATGTCCTCGAGTAGCCATTAGAAGGTGCCGCGCCATACAGAGGAGGAGGAAGAGGAACTCTCTCCGGCGAACTCCCTCTTTGTCGACTGCTTCATCGAGAAGAGATAAGAGAAAACATCGAGTAAGTCAACAATGAAAGCAGTTGAATCTCAAATATGAAGAGTGGATGCATACCCCAATAGGCCAAGCTCTAGAGTCGCCTTGTATTGGGAAGGAATCTCCATCAAGGCAGCCAGAGCAAATTCAGTCTGCCTTCTAGAAGGGTTTACATTTTTTGACATGATCTCAGTGAAATTGACAAACTACAGACAAAAAACAGTCTCCAATAGTCAACACATGTTTCTAGTTTTGAATGTGAAGAAATGTGAAAAATCTACCCTGCATGGAAGTAATTGTTGAAAACCTGAAAATTATCAAATGCTCGAGCTGGGATGTTATCATCAAATTCCTTCATCATGTCCCAAGGCCCATCTCCGACTCCGACCAAGATTATCGACAAGGGATACTCACTGCAATTATACTTGAGTTTAAGGAAAGAGGAATTTGATAATCAGAGATGAAGCTGCGGGATATTTACCTAGCCTTTACAATAGCATCGATTGTCTTCCGTTCTTGTGGACTTAGTTGACCGTGGTGTGTGTCAACGCTTCTTGTGACCTGTCTTGAGGGCGAATTTGTTTAGACACGAATGCTAATAAGGTAAAACAAACAAATGAGGTAATAGTAAACAAAACCAAGGAGTGTCCTTCCTAAGATGTAAGATGAATGTTGTTAACCTAAGCATAAGCATAACTCAACCGTAACCTTCCTAAAGGTCGAAGGTTTGAATTCCCTACTAAAAAAATATGGATGTTGAACAACTTGGTAGTTCAAAACTGGACTGACCTGCCCATCGGCAATTATCAGCAAAACATGGTACTGACCACCAGTTTTCTCAACTATTGTCGTGGCCATCTCAACAATTGGTGCAAAAGATGTAGGCCCTGCAAGAAGGGAGAAAACAAGGTTTAGAGCAAGCCAAATGGTCACAGTTCACCTCAACTGAAACAGGAAAACAATCACCTGCAAGTCGTAAGTTGGGAACAACTTCTCTGTACCGATGCAAAACTTCCTCAAATCCATTACAGGTCCTGTCATGTTCGTAAAAGCTAAAAACATCTTGATCATGAGTAGATGCTGCAAGGATCACAGTTCAACTGTCAAGTCCCAGGTAAATAAAATTTTGACGAGAATCGAGACAGCGCTTGGAATACGATTACCATCTCCAAATCCAAAACAGGGAATCAAGTTGTCCTCATCGAAAACCGATAGTGTCTGTCCAATTATAGATATGGCCTGTTCGTACGGGTTCTGCCCATTCCCAATGTGGTGTAAACTACGTCGATTGAACGACCTCGAACCTATGTCGAAAGAGGGTTCAGCATGCTAAAAGACTAGCAAATGTGTTGAACTAGAAACTACGAGATGAGAACCGACCTGTCCACTCATTGCTCTTCGTGAAATCGATTCCCACAATGAGATTAGATGACTCGAGACCAGCTTGCGCAAGAGCAGAAGTCACCTATTGTAAAACCCAATTGTTAACAACCAAAAGGAAGCCATATTCATATGTATTATCAGAGCACTTCAGCAGTAGAAGGTAAACAAGACACAAAAGTTAGTAGACAAATTTCCCATGGCAAACGACTGATTTCAAAGAGTCTCTGCAATTGCTCCTCAACTCAATCATAAAACTATTTTGATTACAGAATCTCAAATCAACACCAATCCTTGCACCTATTTCAAAAGTGGAGAGGTCAAAATCAAAGCAATAAAGCCACTACTTCCCATTTACAGCCCAATGAGAATCATCAGAATGCAAGTAGCTCATGGATCTTTTTCCGGCATAACCTGAAAGCTAACAACCTAGCTCTTAAACACCTTTGACAGAGACAGCAAAAATTACAGACATAAGACAGAACAAAGATTTAACCTCATCCAAGGAGCTGTAGTTGTCTGCTATTCTTGAATATTTCCTGTCCAGCCTCCTCTGTGGTTGAGGCGTTTGTGACCCATAATCAGAGGATGGCGTATATGGATACTGCTGCGGGTATGGCGATGGTGGAGGATAACTGAATTGATCCCACGCTGCAGAATTGTCATACCCATAGGAATCGAACTCTCTTCGACTTGGCTCCTTAGAATTCCTCCCTCCCATCACTCAAAAATCTACAAATTCCTTCAGAATTGAGCAAAATGGAGCGTTCCTTCACCTGAATAAAACCACACCAAGTCAACGGATTCACCTGCAAAAGCACAGAAAAGAGATGGAGGAGGATCCGAAGAATCTCGGGCCTTCAATTTTACCTGCAAATGATCTCGAAAACCAGAGCCGTCCAGAGATTGTAAAGCAGATTTTTGGGTATTTATATCTCTTCCTGAAACTGTAGAGGGATGAATCAAATCTCCGGGGAGAAGAATTAATAAAGAAAGACCAAGAAAATTATCATCGTGGTGGTGGTAAGTAACTAGGACCAGTTCAATGACACCTACCATTGAAAATCCTTTGCCCGGTACCTACAGGCTACAGTACAGAAGTTTCCTGTAACCTTTTTACGTTAAAAAAAAAAACAAAAAAAACAAAAAATTATATTTTGGGAAGTTTATGAACTTGGGTAAGTTTAAAAATCTAAAAAAATATAGAAGAAAATCCTATGGAAAGAAGTACGGCCCAAGAAACAGAGAAGATCGAGTCAAGAATTTAACCCAGCCCCATTACATGACGATTGCATAAGCGAGTTACGGTCTACACACGCAATATGATGCGTAAGAAAACCAGGGGAAGGTCGAAAATTTGAATAATGATTTGCCCATAAAACTCATTGTGAATCAAAATGAAATTATTATTATAATGTTGACGTGAAATTAGTCATTCTATCGCCGACCAAATTATGAAGTTGCTGCTTTTGTTTTGCCCAAAAACTGAAGCAAATTTCTCGGCGTCTGAGTGTGATCATCATAGTGGCATAATGCGGCTAATTTCTGAGAGGATGTTTCTTGTGAAACTTACTAGTTTGCTCTTCCTTTCACATCTGGATTTCCTTCCAATCCATCTACTAACATTTTGGTCACGGTGGATTCTGACACAGACATGTTTTTTAATGAATCAGTCAATATTTGAGACAGATTTTCTCTTCATCCATCTACTACAATTTTTCTCGTGGTATAATTAAGAGAATGGAACAACTTGTCCAAATCTTCCAAAATAATTATTTGTTCTCCTGGAAATAGCGGAACAAGTCGAATTCTAAGAGAACCAATTGAATTAGTTTCTCTCAAAATTTATTATATAGGGATGTTTCATTCGTTGAATTTTAAATTTTAACCTAACTATTAGAATAGAAATTTGTCTTACCAAACTTCAAATTTGATCATTTTAATCTTGATCATGAGCTTATAAAATAATTAACTTATTGGCAATTACAAATCACAAACTCATAGTAGTAAAACAAAAAGCGTCAATTTAATCAATATTAATCATTCATAAAAAGTAAAAATAAAAATAAGAAAAGTAAGAACAAGAAACAAAGTACCCTTAAAGTAGAAATTTCTATCTATCCGGACTTACAGTTGGGTTGAAGAACTATAGTCTAACTACGTATGGTAGAAGAAGAAACCTTGATTATGAAGAACTTTTTAGGTTTGGAATGAGATGATGGATCTCTTAAGAGTGCTCATCTATTTGTACATATTAATTTATCCTCTTATAATAAGGAATTATCTATAATAAAGATTGCCTAACAGATTGGAAAATTCTATTTGAGAAAGAATTATTTATAAAATAGTTTCTAATCAATTAATAAATTTATATCATATTTCCTAATTTTATTATATCTCTTTATTTACAAAATAGTCTAAAAATACACAATTTTCAATATGAAGCATCCTGCCATAATAAATATGTCTGTATTTATCCGTTAAGCTACCTCTAATTTGGGTAAAGTTTGAATTATCCTAAAAAATTGTACTTTTGTACAATTGTTCTTCAATATTTTCAATTTGTAATAAAATATTAAATTATAATTAAATTCAATTATTTAAACCTAATAAATTAATGAAAGGTAAGATAAACGTATAAAATATGAGTGTATTTTGTATCTTATAAAAAAATAAGACTTTTGACAGAAGGGTTTAGTTTGTGTAACTCAGAATTAGGAAGTCGAGTTAATGTTTGACACGATTTACCTATTCTAAAAATATTTATTAATATTATTTTCTAAAAAAAATCATAGTCTAGTTTAACTCATAAAAAAGGGGCTAAATTCACCAAATGGTTGCTAATCTTTTTGGTAATTATCAACTTGGTTCAAAATATTTTAAATTACTCAACGCATAGCTCATAATTACTAATCTCTAAAAGATTAGTGATTATTGTGTACATAAAACAAATATATATTACACAAATTCAGCACTCTCAATTCTAAGCTTGTTGATAAATCAAATTGTCAATCATCTAATTAGATAATTACCATTCTAAAAGTTGATGGATCAAACCACTCTGGAGTTGTTGATCAACTAAAAAATAAAGAAAAATAAAACTATTAAAACTATGAACTTATAGTCTCTTAAAATTTATATCGGGAATGTTTAAAAGTATTTAAAATTTCACTAGAATATTTGTCGATATCAAAGTTTTATTGACAATTCAAATTAGAGAAGTAGTATACTAGTATTAACATTTAATTCTTTTAAAGTATTCTAAATATAGTCAAAACACATGGATGACATAAACATAAATTTTAACAATGACGATTTATTGACCTTGATCTATTGAGTAATGTTTTATTTATTAATTCATATAATTATATTTAATTATTTAAAAAAGTATTTATCAACATTGACTTTCTTTAAAAAAATAAATTAGTAAATTTGTTATTTCCAATTGCTTTTATCATCTTACTCGTTGATCCCAAAGATTATTTGACATTAGCTTTTTTAACATTTTGTCGCTCAACTATGAAGCAACTTGACCACTTGGAGAGAGGCATTGTTGGTGAAAATTAAACACTAATTTTTTTTTGAAGGAATTAAATATTTTATTTTTTTGCAACTATTATTATTATTTTTAGGATAATATCTAGTTAATAGAAATGAAAAAAAAAAAGATATTAATGAAGTTGAGATTCCTCTCATTTTAATATATTTTCTAATTGATTTTTAGGATATGAATAGAATGAGGAATGCATTCTTCTCTATCCCCTCCAAAATCTTGTTTAAATTTCTGATTTTTCAAATTACGTTTGTATATTATTATTGTTATTTATGTTTAATAAAAACTTTAGTTTTTTTTTTTTTTTGAGAAAAAGCTTTAGTTATTTTAGAAAATTGAAAAAACAAAATTATCATTTTTGGGCTTAAAAATGTGTAGTTGGCTCAAATTCTTTGATATATGGGCCTATTAAACTTCTTCATCCTTTTCCTTTCGGGCTGGGCCCAATTCTTTTTTTCTTCTAGAAATCAACCTCAACATTAACCTCAACATTCACATGTAACCGCGCAAATTTGGTTCTTTCCTGCACATGCAAGCTTGGAAAATAAATTTTTTGGTTTTCTACTTTTAAAACTTAAAGCTGAGAAATATATATATTTTTATTTTGTTATATAATTTTTAAAAATATTTTCAAAATCTCAATCAATCTTGAAGAAATTTTCAAAAACGCGTTTTTATTTTTTAAATTTAGTTAAGATTTCAAATGTGTTTTCTAAGAGGTGAAAAATATACCAATAAAATTATACATAAACAAGCATAATTTATAAAAGAAAACTAAAAATAAAATAGTTATCAAACTATGAATTTGACTGACTTCAAATAATATTTAGGGTTAAGAAAAAGGAAAATTATCATATTTTATGAATTTAATTTTAAATCGATGGGTTAGTTTAGTGTTGATTTTGGGCAAAATTGGGGTTAGATTTGAATTATTTTCAGGAGGTGGATATTTTCTGTAAATGTTCAAAATTCCAATTTTCCCCCAAAGGGAAGACTTGTCCACATTCTTTCTTTTCCTAAACGGAGAGGAGACAGAAATCGAAATAGGAGATGGATCCTTCTCTAATATTTATACGGCTGTGATCTGCTTGATTCCTATCATCGCAACGTGGCAGCCATCGGAAGTGCTGGTGTACACAGCTACGGTGGGTCGCACATTCACTGTATAATATTGGTGCTCTAAATTCTAAATTCTAAAAGGGCAAGGATTTCTCCTTCAAAAAGCAATCGCAATAGGAGGACTGGTTGGTAAATGGCAACCATCACCGTGTTCGTCCACGCTCCGTCGTTCGGTCGTCTTCTTTTCTTTTCCCGCTGCGCTGAATCCGATTTCGGATACGAAACCCTAATTTGAAGCTTTATATCTCAAGTAATCACAATTGAAATCCATTGTCATTTCCGACTTCTTCTGGTACAGCTACTGATCGATCGTTTCGTTTCTACTAATTTCATATTCTAGGCTTTCTACCTCAGGCGGAGGTGTCTATTTTGCTTAATTATGTTGTTATCGGATTTTTAAGGAACTTAATAGCATAAACTCCGATGGTATAATTGGGGCGGGTATGGAGTTTTGCCCAATTTTGCGGGGTTAGTTATCGGACTTATATTAGATGGCGAGTGGTGTTGATGAAGACGGGGATGCTGTTCTCAGCGACGTTGAATGTGATGATCCCGTGCCCATTGCGATTCATAATCCGTCTCCGGATGAAATCTCCGTCGAGAGGTTTCGGGAGATTCTTGCAGAGCGCGATCGTGAGCGGCAAGCTCGAGAAGCAGCGGAGAATTCGAAATCGGAATTGCAAGTATCGTTTCATCGCTTGAAAGCGCTTGCCCACGAGGCAATTAAGAAGCGCGATGAGTGTGCGAGGCAGCGGGACGAGGCATTGAGGGAAAAGGAAGAAGCTTTGAAATTTAATGAAAAGGTTTCAGCGGAGTTGGCTGAGGCGAATCGGCAGAAAGATGAGGTCTCAAAACTTAGGGATGAGATTGCCAAGCAATTTGACGAGATCCTAAAGGAAAGGGATACTTTGAGATCGGAAATTGGCAATGCGTCACATATGCTGGTCACTGGGATTGACAAGATATCCGCAAAAGTGAGTAATTTCAAAAATTTTACAGCTGGTGGGCTGCCTAGGTCGCAAAAGTATACGGGATTGCCTGCAGTTGCCTATGGAGTCATCAAGAGGACAAATGAAATCGTTGAAGAGCTTGTTAAGCAGATTGACACCACAACGAAGTCAAGGAACGAAACCAGGGAACAGATGGAGTATAGGAATTATGAAATTGCCATTGAGGTTTCTCAGCTTGAAGCTACAATCAGTGGGCTGAGGGATGATGTTTCCAAGAAAACTTCTGATATTGAAAACCTGGAGAACGCTATTGCCGAAAAGGATAGAAAGATATCTGAAATTGAAGCAGATCTGTCTGTTAAATTAAGCAGGGCCGAGGATGAAGCTTCTAAGCTAAGGCAGCTAATGCATGAGTATGATGATAAGTTAAGGAATTTGGAGTCAAAAGTGGAGTCCCAAAGACCTTTACTTATTGATCAGTTGAGTTTCATTTCAAAAATTCACGACCAAATTTACGATATTATTAAGATAGTTGATGCTAGTGATGCAGACCATTCAGAATTTTCGGAGTCTTTGTTTCTACCCCGAGAAACAGACATGGAGGAGAATGTACGTGCATCTTTGGCAGGAATGGAATCTCTTTATGCATTAACAACACTTGTCAGGGACAAGACTAGGAGTTTAATCGATGAGAAGGTTCATGAGATTAAGAATTTAAATCAGGCAGTTGCCCAGTTGCTCAAGGAGAAAGACCATATTGGATATTTACTGAGGAGTGCACTATCGAAGAGGATGACATCTGATCCCTCTTCAAAAGCAAATCAATTGTTTGAAGTTGCGGAGAATGGTTTAAGAGAGGCTGGGATTGATTTCAAATTCAGCAAGCTTCTTGGAGACGAGAAGTTTCCAGCTTCCAGGGACAATGGGAATGCACTAGATGCAGAGGAGGATGAAATATTCACCCTGGTAAGCACATTTGATCCTTGTTTTGTTTTAAGCTCTTTCTTTAAATAATAATAAGTTTTTAATTTGTTTTACATTCTCATGTAAAATACAGGCTGGTGCTTTGGAGAATATTGTGAAGGCATCTCAGATTGAGATAATTGATCTACGACATTCCCTGGAAGAATTAAGGTACGAGTATTATGGTTTGAATTATGTGTATATAACAGTAATCTCTGAATTTCTGATTTCTGACTAAAAGAAAACTTCTTATTTGTGATTTATTTTAGATATTAGGCTGACACAATCAATATTAATTGAATCATGTATGCATATGCAATTTCTGCTGATTCTGACATGTAATTTCTTTATATTTTTTATCTTGCTGCCTCAAGGGCAGAGTCAGTTTTACTTAAAGAGCACCTGGAATCCCAATCCAAGGAGCTTAAACTTAGGTCACTTCAAATTCAGGAACTTGAAGAGAAGGAGAGAGTTGCCAATGAAAGTGTATGCAATTGTTCAATGATTTAAATTTAATTTTCATTCGTTTCTTTTCATAATTTTTTGAGAATGAAGATTAGAAAATTTCAGTCGTAAACTGTTGTCTTGAATTCCGAGAGATAGCTATTATCTTACTTCTGTGTTTGATGATTTAGGTTGAAGGGTTAATGATGGACATTACAGCTGCGGAAGAAGAAATCGTGAGATGGAAGGTGGCTGCAGAGCAAGAAGCTGCTGCTGGCAGAGCTGTTGAACAGGAGTTTCTGGCACAGGTATGCTATCTACGAAGTTGTCTAATGCCTCATTGATGAGCACATATATATATAAATTTTTCTGCCTTTTGTTTTGTGAATTTTCTGCTTGGCTTGTAAAAGTAAGGGCATCAAAGATGACGTTTTATTTTGTAACAATTATAAATAACGAGTATTGCATTTGATGGTAATTGGATTCTTGTTATATGTCGAGATAATGTGGGGAAACCAATAGTTTGGGTATTCAAGGAAATAGTTTTATGAGGGGAAAATATGATTTAATTGAATTATTTATAAAGGCGAATACTAAGAAGTAAGCTCTCTTCTTATGTTCCTTATTCTAGAGAAAGCATGTGATAGTATCAAATGTTGAATGTTTGTCCGAGCATTAATGTATAAAAACTACATCAGTTGCTCCGGTTTTGCAGCCCAGTGGGCCAGTTCATCAAAACGCTTGAAAGATCAGATGCCATGATATTCATTTGACATTTGATCAGATTGTTATTTACAAGTATTCTCATCTTTCACAATGCCTGGCCTGGACCTATCAACTTGGTTTAGTTTTGACAAATCTACTTCTTGTGCAGTCTATGATCCAAAGCATTTCCTCTCCCTCATTACAAAATTCTCATCTGTAACTATGAGAAGTTGGTCTTTTCCAGATAAATACAACAAAATATTTAAAAAGTATTTGGTTCTGGGTGATGATGCTATATTAGCTTGATTTGTTTCTTGTAACAAATCAACAATTTTTTTCGTAATGAATTCAATATTTGTTATTGGCAGATCTCAGCTATTAAGCAGGAGCTTGAAGAAGCAAGGCAGGCGATGGTGGATTCGGATAAAAAACTCAAATTCAAAGAAGAGACAGCAAATGCTGCCATGGCAGCCAGAGATGCAGCTGAGAAATCATTGAGACTAGCAGACTTGAGGGCGTCTAGGTTGAGGGAAAGGGTGGAAGAGCTGACCCGCCAGCTCGAAGAGCTTGACAACCGGGAAGAATCTAGAAGAGGATTAAATGGGCATAGATACGTTTGCTGGCCATGGCAGTGGCTTGGACTCGACTTTGTTGGCTCTCGCCGCCCAGAAACACAGCAAGAGAGTTCAAACGAGATGGAACTTTCTGAGCCTCTTCTCTGAGATTTTTCTCTCTCTTTTTGGTTGGGTGGGTTGGGGGGGGGTTAGTCTCTGTATTTATTGTGAAAAAGATTAGAAGATTAGAGAAATATATAATGTGCAGCTACTTTGTTATTGAATGCTCCTGGGTGATTGATTGTTTTTCAGGTAACAGTTGCTTCGAGCAGAAGTGAATCTATTAATAACACCGTTCTTTCATTTTGTGCTTCTCTAGTAACTTCTTTTCCGTGTGGGATGCTATTGAGAAAAACTGAACTCATTTTGATTAGGAGATAGTGTATAGTAACATAACTATTGATGTTTGCAGGACGGGCTTCCCCATCCCATTTAATTTTCCATCCTTGTGACATTTCATAGTGTATAGTAACATAATTAAGGATATTCACGGGTGGGGACAGAAAAAGTTTCCCGTCCCTATCACCATCCCCCATTTAATTCTCCATCCTGTGAAATTTTTAGGAAAATTTTGTTGAGGTTGGAGCAAGAATTCTGTGGGAAATTTGCGGGCTCCCTATGGAAAAATTTTCCCATTTCTTTTTTTAATTAATTTTTAATAAATATTTTTTTCCTAAATAAATTTGTATACAATTGCTAAATTGATAAAGATGAAACCTCATTTACAAGTTCTAATTCCCTAAGGTTTTTTTTTAATATATGTATATATAAAGAGGACTACATATATTCTTGTATACATTTAAGTGGGGTTCTTATGAGACGGAAGTCGCGGATAATATGGACATCCCAAAACATAGTAAAGTTTATACTTAACCAAATACGGGAATTTACAACACAGATTTAGAGCATCATTAGATTACATAGAAACACACCCATTATTTATTTATGTTACGATGAGGATAAAAGTCGTAAAAAGGAAGAAGCAGATCATTCGACCATGGAGGAGGGTAGCGGTACGACTGGAACAAGTTTGAGAGGCAACTTCTTGTAGATGGTGAGGCTAAGACCCGAAATCTCCTCCATGTCCAAGTCCTCCTCCTTCATCCCCTCCGGCAACTTCCAATCAAAATGGTACAGAAGATTCGCCAGAGCAAACTCCACAGTTTTGGCCCCCATATTGAGCGCAGGGCAGATCCTCCGGCCAGCCCCAAACGCCAAAAACTCAAAATGCTGTCCTCTGTAATCCACGCACCTCTCTGCAAATCGCTCTGGAATGAACTCTTCTGGGTCTTTCCAGCTCGTGGGGTCTCGCCCAATTGCCCAAGCGTTGACTTGAACCACTGTTTTGGGCCAAAAATCGTAGCCTTGTATCTGGAAATGGGACATGGTTTCTCTTGGAAGAAGAAGGGGTGCTGGCGGGTGCAGCCTCAGCGTCTCTTTCACCATCATTTTCAGGTATGGAAGCTCTTCTGTGTCGCTGTCGCTTAACTTTCCCTTGCTTCCCACGTGTTTTCTGATTTCCTGTTGAGCCTTCTTCATCAATTTCGGTTTCTTTGCGAGCTCTGCCATGGCCCACACTATTGTTATGGAACCTGTGTCTAATCCTCCCAAAAATATGTTCTGATGCACGTTAAACAATACAAAACATAAACTCAGCGTGGAAAATTACTTGAATGCTTCTTCTAAAACTATATATATATTAGAATTTCTCAAACTACCTTTAATCATTAAAAAATTTAAACAAAGTGTTTTTAATTAATCAAGAACACTTGTCATTACTGCTTTATCATTTTAATTGTCATTTTAACATAAAATACACTTTTGGTCACTAAAATTTTGTGTCAGGTGTCTATTTAGTTCTTTGAAATTTAAAAGAATACACTTTTGGTTTCTACATTTAAGTTAGATATCTATTTGGTTCTCGAGGTTTCAAGAAAGACATTTTTGGTCATTAAATGTTTGGAAAATGATTTTAAATAGTACTTGAAGTGAGTTGACCTTGATTGGACGTTAGGCTTGCAAACTTGTCAATTTTCAAAAGAGACATTTTTGGTCCTTAAATCGGGTTAACTTAAACTTTAAGAGCCAAAAGTGTCTTTTTTGAAACTTTAAGGACTAAATAGATATCTAACTAAAACTTCGAGAACCAAAAGTATATTTTGTAAAAAAAAAAACTAAAATTTTTAATTATCTATGAAAATTTTAAAATGCATTTCAAAAATGAATTAATTAAGGTAGGTGGCCATTATATGGCATTTAAACCTATTTCCTCTCAATTCACCCTAACTCCTTGGACCAATAAATCATCTATAATGATTTTTTCTAATTCATATTCATTATTTGAAAATCTTCAATTTAATAGATTATATTTTAACTTTTTTAATTTTAGAAAATATTTGGCTCCTTATTAATAAGAAGCAACTTCCTCCCTACCACTTTTAAAAAAGAGAAAAAAATTTCCTCCGTACCACCATTAAATATTGAAAAATAGTAAGGAACAACTTTATTCGTTAAATCGAGCATAGAAGTGGTTAAGACATCTATCTCTTATCATAAAGTTATGAATTGTTTGCTATGACTAGGGAGGGATCAAGTATTTTTCTTAAATATTTGACAAATCATTACGAGGGATCAAGTTGTTTTGTACTTTAATTTTATCATTATCCTGTGAATGTCAATTAATACAGATGGTGATAGCTTAAGTCACATAATTCCCACTAAGTTGATAAGAATTTGAAATAAAAATTGTCACTTCAGAGAAAGAAAAGTCAATTTATTTTTTTCTCAAATTCTAAACTCTTCTCCTAAATAGTATAATTCATTTTTCTAAACTTCTCTTAATTCACACGCTCAGATACACTAAATTTGTATAACTAAAAAATGTTAAACGGTAACCAACTAAATTAAACCAAAAGCTAATATGAAAATAGCTCAACACATCTACTTGATCCCCAATTCGTTCTATTAGAAAAAATTAATAACTAAATTAAACTAATACAAAGTTACTTACCAAAAGAATGGCTTTGATATTTTCATGGGCAATAGCAACAGAGCCAGACTGGTGCTGCTGCTTGCTTATACCCAAAAGCACATCAATAATGTCATCTTCCTCTGCTTTTATTCTCTCAGGCCGAAGATGTTCATCAATCACCTCTTGAAACAGAGCATCCAACTCATTAAAAACTCTCTCAAGCCTGCCATGGCGTCCGCTGATCCTATCAATCAGCTTCCCCACAAACGGAACCGCAAAATACTCAGAAGCGCTATAGCTTCCCAGCATGGCCTCCACCTCACTCACAAGCTCGTGAAACCTGCCCCCACGGAAATCCCCCCCTTCAAATCTCTTCCCAAAAGCAATCCTGAAAACAATCGCAGCAGTGAGCGCCACGGACTTGTCAGTGAGATCCACGGGAGTGGCAGAGGACGCAAATTCCGCAATCGATTCAATTAGAGACCCAATTTCTTGCTCTCTGATGGGTTCGTACGATTTCACCCGCTTGACGCTGAAGAGCTCGAGAACGCAGATTTTGCGGATCTCTCGCCAGTAGTCGCCGTACGGGGAGAACGCGATGTCGCGGAAATTGTAGGTGAGTTTTCTGACGCTGTGGCTCTGCGGCCGGCTGCAGCTGTCGAGATCGTGGGTCTTGAGGAGCGCGCGCGCGGCGTCGGCGGAGGATATTATTGTGGTCTCGACGCCGCCGAGGGTGAGGCCCATGATGGGGCCGTAGCGCTGGGAGAGGCGCCACAGAGATTTGTGGGGGAGATTCCCGAGTTGGTGCAAGTTTCCAATTATCGGAAGCTTTGGGGGGCTTGGCGGAAAACGACCCCTTTTTCTTCTTGAAGATGAAGATGTTTTCCATTTTATGAGGAAAATGAGTAGAGATAGAAAGATGAAGAGGGGAAGCCATGGAGGGAACTGTGAGAGAAACATTATATTATTGGAATATTTTTTTTTCTTTGAAGAAGAAGAAGAGGATGTGGTTTTTGGATGATGATGATTGAAATGTTGGCTCCTCCTTCTTCGAGTTAAATAGACCCCTGGATGAGAAAATATTTGTTCCCTGATTAAAGGTATGATTTTAAATATCTGTTCACAAGTCGATATTTTCATTGACATATCTGTATTTTTACGAATATCGATACGAAGGTAAATCGACATTTCCATCATACTCCAAGAAAATCGACAAAATATGAAAAATATCAATAAAATGTCACTAATATACACATAATAGTTATATTAATTATTTTTAATTAATTTAGAAACAGTAAAATATTTATTTGTTAATTTAGATATTTGTTACAGTTTTTTAATTTTTCTAACTTAGAAATATTCATCGACATTGGTATTTTCATGAAATCGAGATTCTACATTGACATTTAAAACCTTGGTTAAAGGAAACCACAAAATTTTAATAACTTTTATTTTTTAAAATATAGAAAAAAAATATATAAAGAATATCTAACCAATACTTGAATATGACGATTTTTGCAATTTTTCTTGGAGATTGAAAGTGGTAGTTTTTTCCATGGTGATGGAGAAATCAGAAAGTGGTGATCCATAATTATCTACGTAAACAACTAGCTTAACATCTTTAGACAAATAAGACAATCATCTACATCTAAAATAATTTTGAAGAGGTTTATTTCTTTTTTTTATCCAAAAAAGAAAATAAAAAATAAAGAATAGAAAAAGCTAATTTAATGTTTTTTTTTTTATAAAGAAAACTTACAAGAAGCAAATATAGTGGAATTGATTAAAGTTGGATGGTATAAACTATAAAATATAAATATATATATATACCAAAAGCTAAAACATGCATGCATGATAAATCAATGTTTTTCTAATAAAATCGTAAAAGTCTCCTATTAAATATTTCCAGTTAAATTTTAAATGGGGCCTTCACGTGTTGGGTGTAATTTTCATTTGATCCATCTCTATCATTTTAAAAGTAAATTTAGATTTCAAGTTTCCGAAGCTCTTTTTTGACTCATAAAAAAAAAAAATCTATTTTTCCTTCTATTTTTACTCAATTATAAACCATAATATAATTAACTAAATAAAAAACGTCACCACATTTTCATGTATAAAAATATTACGTGAGGTTTACTAAACTAAGACCAAATTAAAACTTTAAAAATCATAAAACCAAATCGAAATAAAACTCAAACTATAACCTATATGTTCCTATCACATCTCTATGCAATAAATTATTAGTTATACGAAGAGTACAATACTGGCGGCCTCTCTACGGATAATTTCCACTAATTTTTGTAAAATGGTAAAATTGAAAATGGAGAAAACTAAAATACAACTTTCCAATTGTAAAAACTAAATTAGAAACAGATGTCAACCCTAAAGTTCAACTTATAGTTTAACCGATTCACCTTAGTAAGTTAGTTTTAGGGCGAGATCGGGAGTGATTTTGGCATACCGAAATTATTTTTGTCATTGTAAAATCACTTCTCTTCCCATTAATAATGTTTGACAAATTAAAAATATTAATTTTAAAATAGCTTAAAATCACTTTAAATTGATTTTTAAGGTATCATTTAGAGGATGATTTTAAAAAATCAATTATGCTTAAATTTATTTCTCCAAAATCACTAATTCTACCATCTCTCCAAAACACACACTTATTTGTTAAGTAAGCTTTCTTCTCCGAAAATCCGTCATCCAACCTCTTATGCGCTCATTTTATAGAAATATCCATCAATATCGACATTTTATCGATATTTCTATCGATATTTCCATGAAATTGAAACATCGACATTTCTATCGACATCAACATTTAAAATTTCGGACGAGACCATAGCGTCCGGATGGCGCCGCTGAATCTGGACATTTTGATGGATACGTAGCGTAGCATCCTTTTTCGTCACTACTGTTCCCTATAAAACCAAAAATTGAACCATTTTCAACGCAAAAATTTTGGTTTTTTCTCTCTCCTTTTTTCTTCAACCGATCAGGAATAGGATTTTTAGCGCCTAATTTTGCTGAAGAAACCATCCCATTTTCTACTTTAAATTGGTCAAAATATAGGTCGGATTTGAATTCATATCATATGACTTAACCAATTAAACGAGGTTAAAATTAATAGTAAATTTGAATTTAAAACTTTATTTAATATTAAGATTAAGGAGTCGTGTTTATATTTATTTAATATTTAGTTTTATTTATCTTACACTTAAAACTCCTAGCATGCATGGTAAATAATCAAGTTGAGAAAGCTTTGGTTTAAATTCAACAATCTCGCTTTCTCAACTTGATTATTTACCATGCATGCTAGGAGTTTTAAATAAATTAAGATATGAAGGAGAAGAATCCTATTTGAATGCTGATTGTAACAACAAGGAAAAATGTGATTACAACTTTTTTAAAAAAATCACATTTATATCATTTATGGGCAGACCAAGGAAAATAGGCACATACATAAGTTAGGCTACCATAGGAAAGGTTAAGTTGGCAAGCTTATCTAGATTTATTAAACTTCTATTTATTAAGTATGAGGTGTTAAATTAAATTTAGATTTGTAAAATCTGTATTTAGATAATGTAGAAAATAAGTTTGTTAAGTGTGTTTGGATACTACTTTGTAAAACCTGAATTTATTAAAAATTGTGTTTATTGAAAGATAATGATGTAATTGTCTGTTTTTTTTCATTTTTTCTCTTTAAAAAAAAAAAAACAAAATAAGCGTCGGGAATCAGGAATTTGTCTTGCTTTTGGATCTTGAGCGTGAAACCTCTCCTCTTCTGGAACCTCTGCAGCTGCCTCAGCGTGACGATATGCTCCCATTTGGACGACGATACCAGCCCATTAAACGAGCCCAGCCCAGCGGCTTCGGCCCACTTTATTTTAAATTTTTAAATTTTACTCTCTTTCTTTTTCCTTCTCTGCCCTCTATTCCTCAATTTTCAAAAATTCTTTTTCTTTTATACTTATGATTTATTTAGACTGATATTTATTTTATTTTATAACTTATTGTAATTATATTAAGATAAATCTATGTTCTTATCTAAATTGTGTAACTAAATACTATATTTGATTAGTCGATAAATATTTAATTCCTAATTATTTTCTGATTCACTGGCTCTTTTAGGATTAGTTAATAAAAAATTTAAATATCCACAACTTAAATATAACTAAGTAACATTGAAATTTAATTTATTAATTCAAATAATTTCTATCATCGATATCTATATTTTCATAGGTAAGTTACTCATATTTTTACATATGATTATTAAAAGTGATTAATTATAATTTAATTAATAACAATTAAAATTTTCACAAATTCTGTGATTGTTTTGAAATATCCATCAACATCAATATTTTCGTAAAATCGAGATCACGAGAACGACATCCACTAATTAAATTAACATATTCTTTTATTGTATTCTAGAAAAATCATTAAAATAACAAAAAATCAATGATTAAACTTATTATTATATTATAAATATTTCCTTGCTGAAATCGATGCAAATAATCTTATATATTTTCATGGATGTTCCCTACTTTCTTTTTCCCAATGTATTTGAGTCTTTGACATGGATGAAAATACCAAGTCGTATTAAAAAATTAATAAAAATATCGATAAAAATATCGATAAAATGTTAAGAAATATTATTAAAAAATTAAAAAATAAAATATTTATAAAATATTTAAATTAAAAAAGTAAATATTTCATTATTTTAAATAAATTTAAAATCTTTATTTTGTTAGTATCTTTTTTTTATATACACTTTATTTTTTTTTCACAATTTTATGAAAATCTCGACTCAAATTTTATGTGGGTATCGAACCAGTATATATGAAAATATCAATAGAGATATATAGAATTTAATACCTCGATTTCCTCTGACGTAGAATTGTGTTTTAGAACATTTGATTTCTCTTTCTTCCTCCTCACTTAAAATTCAATTATTCTAAAGAGGATTTATCTAGAAGTACGAAAATTTTGGATTTGTTTTTGTCTGTTTCCCAGAAAAATAGGATTTCTCCCAGCCTTTTCATAATTAGAATTGGAGAAAAATAAATAAATAAAAGGAAGTAGAAAAGGATATGTTCACTTAAAAAAATAAAGATATATAAGATAGGTATTTGTGGCGTCACAATTTTCTTGAAAATTTTACCTTAATTTTTGTTAAATTACTATTGGATCTAAAAAGTGATTTATATGTTATTCCTCAAAAAGAAAAACACCGATTTATTGTTTTGATTATTTATTTATTTATTTATTAAAATTCATTGTATAGATAAACAACTATGACCAAATAAATTTGGTAAAAAAAAAAAAAAACCTATGACCAAAAGAAGAAACTATCTTTCTTTGAAAAATGAATGGAATGGGGAGATCANAAAAAAAAAGAGAAAAAAAGGCAGACAATAGGAACAAGAATTATTGAGTTAAAAAAGAAAGAGAAGAGAAATGGGCAAAGGGTGGAAATTTGAGTACGGCCCGTAAAGTTGGTAAACCAAGACGAAGTTGCTACGACTCTTCTCGAGAAAGTGGAGGAGATGTTCATATGAGAGTTATTTAAGTTATTTTAGATGTTTTTTTAAAATACGAGTTTTTGAGATTTTCACACCGAAGCATCATTTCTTTTTTTTTTCATTCATTTTTTATTTTTATAATTTAAATAAATTAACGTACTCATTAATAATTAACTTGATGCAATTAAGTATGTTTATATATTACATTTGTATATAAAATAAATTTCAATTAAATTATATAATGTATGTATTTATATTTAATATTTAGAAGGAATTATTATCAATAATATTTATTATCTTAAATATATAATTTTAAACCAACCTTTGATATTTTTCTTCTTATTATAATTAAATAAATTTCACCTCAAATAACATTAATTATATATTGTATTTTTTTGAAGCAAATATTAAAGTTCAAAATAAATTTATATTTAATATTAATTATTTTTTTAAAAGAAATTTTATATTATTACGAATTCTACAAAATAACATATAAAAATTAATAATACACGGATATAATATAAAGAAAATAAAAATATTAAGTTAATTAAAACGAATAAATTATGTAAATGCAAATACGTATAAATCATATAAAATATTATCGGATATCTTTATAAATTTTTCTACAAAACCAATGTGGCTATCCAAAGATAACTAAATATCTAAAATTTCAAGCATAGAAAATTCTAAGTACTTGTCTGCATTAGAAAAAAAAAAACAGCCGGCCACTACAACTAAAGAGGAGGGAGAAGAAGAAAAAAAAAGAGATAAGTCTTTGTCATATAATAATTATTTTGTTTATAGAAATTATTATTCTATTTAATTTCTCATTTCTAAATGTTTTTACGTATAAAACTTATTTCGTATAATGAATAAAATGTGAATGATAAATACTCTTAGTTGTTTAGGATGCGTTTAGTTAGTAATCTGAAAACAAAAATTTAAGAAGAAAATTTATATTAATATGTGACGTTTGTTGAAAAATGCTTTGATAATATGTTAGGATTTCTTTTCAAGAGTGCTTACAAAATAGACGTTTGATTCAAAAAAAAAAAAAAAAAACTTTTCCGTTCAAATAGAAAATACTTGGTCAGCTTTGAGAAGAGTGATCGTTTAAAAGTATTACTTCTTTTTTACCATATTTGTAAAAAAAGAAACGTATGTTACAAATTCCATCATCCGTAAGAGTCTGAAATAGAGGTCTTCTGACTTCTACTTTAGGCATGCACAACTCATATTATATTCAATTTTATCTTCTCTCGACGGAATATCAATAGCATTCAACATCGATATTTAGATATTGACTTTACTTCGATCATCATTGAAAAATTGACAACTCATTATTATTTTTAAATAATAAATTTTTATATTTCTATCTCTTATTTATGAATAATTTAATGGTGGTTAGCACCTAAATATTTTCTATATAATGTATCAACTTCTGACACATCAAGTACTTATTTCGAAATTATTTTAGAACGAGTCATTTTAGCCGAAGAGAATTGATTATGTGAGTGGTGATTTTTATATACTTATTTTAACGTTTTGTTACACACCTTTACAAGAGATTTTTATACAAACGATTTTGAATGATTAACATTTGAAGTTTAAAGGGAGAATTTGACAAAAGTTTTAAAGAGAAAAAAGTTAGAGAAAGAACTTTATAAGTAGAAATTTTAAAGGGCGAGGGATAAAAATTTTAGACAGAAAAATAAATTTATAATTAAATGGTTGGGAACTACAAATTTAGAGATAGATTAGTACAATTTTAGAGAAAAATTAGAGTGAATAAAGATAAATGGGGTGGGAGGAGGGACAAAAATTTTAGAAATGAAAAAACATGGACATTTTTAAATTTTATAGCGAAAATAAGGTAAAATAGAAATAGAAATTTGAATTTTAAAAACTAATTCCATATTAATTTTTTTTTACCAAAAATTATTTGAAAATTACCTTTGGAGTGATTGACCGATAATCATTTAAAGTGATTATAAAATCACTTGAAAATTATTGTCAAAATGTCAGTTAAAAAGAGCAATGATTTTAATATGAGTAAAAGATAATTCTAAACATACTAAAATCACTCCAAAACATGTACCCGGAGGAGTTCAGAATCACCCGTGACCAGTCCAGCAACTGACCTATATATATACCGCATAAAATTTTCCAACTTTATTCCACGGCCTACTGAAGGTCTATAATATCTGATCTCTTACAGCTGGAAACCCTCCATCAACAAAAATGGTTAGCCTTGAACAGATCATGTCAGCCTGATAAGAGCGGTAGATAAGATCAATTTAAATAAACGTGTCGATGTCTCAATTTTATAAAAACGTCGATTGAAATATCAACAAAATCTCGATGTCGATAAATATTTATAAAAAAGTTATAAAAATAAAAACTTCGTAAAGACTATTTTAATTAACAAATAATCATTTCATCATTTCTAAAAATAACTGACATTAATATTATGTCCATATTAGTGAGATTTTGTTGACATTTTTCATATTTTATCTTTTCGTAATATTTTGGAAATGTAGATTTACCTCTAATGTCGATGCGATATATAGAAATGTCGACATGTCGATAGATATTTAATACCCGTAGAGATTTTTGTTCTTTTTATTTGAAACTAAATAGTTTTTACCATATCTTTTTGGAGCGTACAGAGTATGTTGATCATCGCCGTTCAACAAACACAGAAGTCTTCTCTTCCCCTTTCTTTTGAGTTCCTCTAGACGGAGAAGTCATTATGATTATTGTCAAACTTTCTCTCCTCTACAACGCATTCAACATAGAAATTTCAACAAATATAGTATGGTAAAATCCGACACGTTGCTACCTGTTCTTCAAAATCATCTCTAAGCCACAATCTCCACAGGATACATTGAAGCTCTATAAATATATAATATCCTTACAGCAAACCCTCCATCAAAGAAAAGAAAAGAAAAGAAAAAATGGTTAGCCTTGATCAGATAATGCTGCTAATGCCCAGCATTTTAACGTGGGCAATTCCACTAATCTTCATCTTCTCTTTCACGCTCATTAAAACCGCAACACACAACAAAAAACAACACCCTCCAGGCCCTCCAAAGTTCCCTTTTCTGGGCCACTTGCACCTCCTCGGCCCCCTCCCCCACCGCTCCTTATGGAAGCTCTCAAACAAATACGGCCCCATCATGAGCCTCAAACTCGGCTCCGTCCCGACCATCGTAATCTCCTCCGCCGCSGCCGCAAGAGASKTSYTKAAASTRCACGACCTSGCYTSCTGCAGCCGCCCTCGCTTGACCGCGAGCAGAAGATTCTCCTACAACTTCCAAGACATTGGGCTGTCTCCATACAGCGACCACTGGAGGGAAGTGCGGAAAATCAGCGTGCTCGAGCTGTTCAGCGCCAAGCGGGTGCAGTCGTTTCACCAGACTAGAGAAGAAGAGATTGGCGTGTGGTTGAAGTCCATCTCTCAGTGCTTATATTCTGAAGTCGACGTGAGTGAGAAATCGTATTCTCTGACCGCGAGTATAATAACGCGGATTGCGTTTGGGAGGAGTTTTCGAGGGGGGGAGCTGGACGATGAGAATTTTCAAGGGGTTGTGCGTAGAGCAGTGGAGGCCATGGGGAGATTCCCGGCGAGTGACTTCTTTCCCGGCGTGGGGTGGATTGCCGATCGGGTGAGTGGCGTTCATGGGCGGCTGGAGAAAAGCTTTGCTGAGTTGGATGCGTTTTTCCAACGTGTAGTTGACGATCGTATCAACCGTAATTCCAACAATAATGAAGAAAATATCGTTGATGTTTTGTTGAAGATGGAGAGAGACCGCACTCAATCTGATGTTCTGCAACTTACTATAGATTGCATCAAGGCACTTATCATGGTAATAATTACCTCACATTCTCCAAAACTTACCGCTAATTTTAACCACTAAAAATTTAACAGTTATTTCATCAAAGTCTAGAAAATATAAAATCAAAATTTGCCTCTCTTATTGTTGAAAAATTGACAAATCATTAATTTTTATAAACTGTTTCTATCTTTACATTTTTTTATTTTAGTTGTTAAATATTTATGGTAAAAACAAAAGGAAAAAACTTACCTCCTGAACTTTCAAGACCACCGTCCTCTTGATTATGACATGACCCAATAAAAAATTGATATTGTTTGCTTTCATATTTTTCTATTATTTTATTAAAATTCAAATCTCATGCATATCTCCTCAATATCTCTTTTACTTTTTTCTTTCTTCAAAACGTATTTGAGGTTTCTCCTCCCTCTTCTCCCTCCCTAAAATCTCTCACCTTCCACTTTTTTCTCTCTTTGAATGCATCTCCTTCACTCTTCTTGAAGCACCATCTTGATTTGTTTTCTATTTTTCTTTTATGGTTTTTTCTCATCTTTAAAATGACATACTACATATGTTTTCAGCAATTTGATTACATTGGGAGGTCATAGCAACAATATGAGAAACGAATCAACAAGTTCTAATAATTGAGAATAAATAAAAATTTTAAACAAATGAGTTAGTTTTTATGGTCTCTTTATTTTTTTAATATATTTTTTTGTAAATATTTTCATTATTTATTTTTCTCCTCTTAAATATTTTCATTTATTCTTCATTTTTAGTTTCCTTAATCATAATTTATAAATTTATAAATTTTTTTTTAATCTAAGTAATAAAATTATTAATTTGTTATTGTAACATGTTTTGGTGTACATGAGATGTGATTTTCAATTTTACTGTTAAAAAGTTTGTAACCTTTTTTTTAAAGTGGGAGGTGGCAGATTTTAAGGAGGGAGTAGATGGGAGAAATGTCAAATACGTTTTGAAAAAAGAAAAAGTAAAAGAGATACTCAAGAGATATTGAAGAGACATGCATGAGATTTGCTGAAGAGATATTGAGGAGATATGCATGAAATTTGAATTTTAATAAAATAATAGAAAAAAATGAAAGCAACAAATGTCAATTTTTCCGAAACAAAATTGCTCCTTGTTGTTAAGGAGGCAACTATTTTTGCTTTTTCTTTTTCTTGTTTCTTATATCATTGCTTTTTGAAAAGAAAAATAAAATTGTGTTTATAACTATTTATTTATTGTATTATTAAAACTTAAAAGTAAAAATTGACTTATCTCATTGCTTTTTAAAAAGAAAAATAAAATTGTGTTGTTAACTATTTATTTATTTTATTATTAAAAACTTAAAAGTAAAAATTGACTTAAATATAAGGATACCACTAAAAGAGATAAGAGATCTAACAAATAATGTTTATAACAGAGATGACTACTTATATTATTATCAATCGGTTTTGAGATAAAACTTGATACGGTATCATAACTCAACAAGTTCAAACGAGCACCCGAGCTACAAATGTAATATTAAAAGGATTCCATCTTGAAAGAAAAAAGAACCAAACAGAGGTTTTACTCTCTGTTATGAATTGGTTTTAATGTATAACCTATGAATATTGATACTTAAGCTTTATTGTTTTGTTGGGATGTTCGTGGTTTTTCAGAATATATTTCTAGCTGGAGTGGAAACTGGAGCCGGAACAATTGTTTGGGCCATGACAGAGCTGATTAAGAATCCAAGAGTGATGAAGAAGCTACAAGACGAGATCAGAAGCTCCATAAAAGAAGATCAAGTAGTGAAGGAGAGCCACCTCGAAAAGCTTGAATATCTAAAAATGGTGGTCAAAGAAGTTCTGAGGCTTCATCCGCCGGCCCCACTTCTCCTTCCAAGAGAAACCATCTCCCATTTCAAGCTCAGCGGATACGACATCCACCCCAAAACTCATATCCACGTCAATGTTTGGGCCATCGGGCGAGACCCGGAATCGTGGACCGCTCCGGATGAGTTCTTGCCGGAGAGATTCGTGGGAAGTGGCGTCGACTACAAAGGCCAGAATTTCGAGTTTTTGCCGTTCGGAGCTGGCCGGAGAATCTGTCCGGGGATGAATATGGCCACCGTCACGGTGGAACTGGCGCTGGCTAATTTGCTGATGTGTTTTGATTGGAAATTGCCGGACGGATTGAAAGAAGAACACGTGGACGTGGAAGAGGAAGCTGGTCTAACAGTTGCCAAGAAGTCGCTTCTTAAACTTGTTCCTCTCCCTTACTTTCAGATTTGATGATATATATTTTTCTGGAACATAGGATTCGATGTAATATATAGTTTATCGTTATCTTTTTTATATCAACTTTTTTGTATATGTAAATTATATTTTATTTAATACGCATGTATGAGAGTATTGTGTTTTCTTAAATTTTAATGAGTCAATTTGAGCGTAAGGAAAGGAGAAATTAAGAATTTAACTATCTTTCAACTTATTTACAAACTATTAACTAATATTATAAAGTCAACATGAATTTTGTTCAACGATATTGTCTAGGAAAGAGATTGATCTATGGTATATAAGAGAGAGAAGAGTTAGCTCAAATTCTAGAAAGTGTATTTTTCCGACTAAATAATAATAAGTAATATGGATTTATTTGATAAATGAGTCGCTAAAATATTTTATCTTGAGTTTGAAATTTGAAAAGTTGATGTGGGTTAAATAGCCACAGCCATCCATGTGTTAAACACGTACATAAAACCAAAATGCGAAGATGAATGTATCAGACAAGAAAGGAAGGTTATTTCCAAAAAGAAAAAAAAGGCGACATTTGACCAAATATATTTATAGTTGTTAAACTCTGTTTTCAAATCCATATATATAATCAGAGACACAGAATATATTTATTGTTCCATATAACAATCTCTATTTGTTAGGGCTTTGTGTTGCACAGGGTGGAGGGAGTACGTTAAGAAACATGCATAAGATATTAAAGGTCGTTAAATTTTAATATATTATTCAACTTTAATACTTTTATGACATGCTAATTATATCATTATTATATTATTCTTGTATCTTGTGTGACTAATATACTTTAAGTATCGCAATTATGTCGGTGATATATATTTTTTTCTTTTCATATTTGTACAACCAAAAAATAGTTGCTATGTTTGCAGATATGACTGCTAAATTTTGGAGGAGAGAAAATAGGTAAAATAACCATACAATTTTATTAATTCAAATCCTCAAATTGGATGCGATCCTACCCACGCATACCTTAATATAAAATCTTGATAAATGATCAATAATATTTTCACAAAAATACTATTAGATATCCTATAAATGATTGATTTAATCATGTTTAACAAATACAAACTCTTATAAAGAACAATAAATATACTCCCACCAAATTTTGTACTAAAAAATAATATAATCACTCAATAATTTCTCTCTCACAATATCAGAACTAAACTTTTTGGAGAGGGATTTGTAAGTGGTAGCACTTTTTTTGCAGCAAAGCTAATAGTGAAAGAATTTGGGCGAGTAGGGTACAAAAATTGGGTTTCAAGATTATGGAGAAGTTTTATAGGTGTTTAAAGTTAAAGGCAAGGAGCTATTAGATTTAGGACGTTATTTAATTCAATGTTAAAGTTTAAATGTGGAGAAAATAGGACAATAAATTGGATTAACAAGGAGGATTAAAGTTTGGAAAATATGGAGCACAAAGGCCCACGTAGGTGCCTCACATATCTGACATCTGTCACATAGGATTTTGTCTTCTAATATAATTGAAGCTCGTGAAGCGAACAAAACCGATCAGGTGACGTTGTTTCTATGGGCTCCAGCGTGTTGGAGCCATTTGGATTGGACTGGCCTAAAAGATAGTTGGATCAACTCATTTACTTGGTCCGTTTGCTGTCGTACTTCTTTTGGAGTCTTGAGGAAGTGGAGAGATTGTTTTGCATTAGAAAATTGAAATCTATCATTTAAAAGATGATAGAAACGATTGCACACCATACACCACTTTCTGTGGGTGAAAATTGCTCAATCATCCCATCACTATGTCGTATCAATTTTCAACTCTTTTTTTGGGTAATAGCGCATGATAGAGCTGATTTGTTATAACCAAAATTGAAATTTGAAGAGACATAACTATTAAAAGTTATATAAAATTACTTTTAAAACATTTTTTGAATAATAAGCTACGGGGACATGCATGTCAATCCCCAATTTGAGAGTCCGATAGGTTAAAAATCACATCAGTTGTAGCGTTGTGGGGACAGTGCCTAAATGCTGCAGCCTTTGGCTCTTAGTCTTCTTTTATCTTTATTAAAAAATTTAAACAAATACTCCTTCATTGATTATTCTAAAATAAAGACCATAAAATTCAAGAACATGTATGGAAGAAAATCAAAATCTATAAAAATATTAGAATTTCTTGAAACCATTAAATTGACGACCATAATATATAAGTTGTAGTTCGTGGTCTTCCTCAGCTATGCAACCTGGACTTAACATGGACAATTATATTCTCTCCGTCTAATGAGGAATATGAAGCTAAAGAAATTTAGTGTAGTGAGGACCATAACTATTTATTTATAAGTTAATTCTCACGCTATACAACTCTTGTTTTCTCCATGTTTTGTTCCATTATTATTCCAACAACATATTGGATGAAAAGTTTATAACCCACGTGAAATAATTGTCAATTTTTAACCATTTCTATTGTCTTTTTGGAGGAAGTCTTTGTCAATAATTCTAAAACCGTGAAAGGGATAGAACGCACCCAACCAGTTTCTAGCTAGAGAGCTTAGCCCAAAGCTTACAATTAGTCGACCTACAAACTTCAACAAAACATAGGAAACTTGAATCCAACTTCCTTTTTAATAATTATTTAATTTCAAAACAATTGCATGAGAAGTACTTGTGTCTAAATTTTAAAAAACAACATCTAATAATACATCCAATTTTTAAGTTATTCAACTTTTAATTTTGTGTCCAATCCATCTTTAAACTTTAAAACAATAATCCGTTAACAATCTATTAGACATAGAATTTAATAGATTGTTAACAAAGTAAGCTTAATAGATATACAAACTATTAATTAGATATTTTTCTATAATTCACATAGGTATTAGAAAAGCAATCATACTTCCCTATATTAGAACTTTATATAAACTTTGGCAACTCCCTTATCTCTCTCCCCCACACAGTAAGTAGTAGAAAAATGGTGAGCCTTGATCAGAGAATGATGCAATATTTGCAAAGCTTAAGCCTTTCCATCTGGGATTTTGTTTCTCTGCTCTTGCTCTTGTCTTCTTCTCTAATCCTTTTTAACACTATAATAATGAAATTGGTTGCAACACACAAGAAGAAGAAGCAGCCTCCTCCGGGCCCTCCAAAGCTTCCATTATTGGGTCACTTGCACCTCCCCCACCGCTCTCTCAGGGATCTTTCGGCAAAATATGGCCCCGTCATGCTCCTCAAACTCGGCTCGGTCCCGACCATGGTCGTCTCCTCCGCCGCCGCCGCAAGAGACTTGTTTAAACTACACGACCTCGCTTCCTGCAGCCGCCCTCGCCTCGCCGCCAGCGGGAGGTTTTCGTACAACTTTCTAGACCTGAATCTATCCCCATATGGGGAGCGTTGGAGGGAGCTTCGGAAGATTTGCATGGTGGAGCTGTTCAGCGCCAGGAGGGTGCAGTCGTTTGAGAAGATAAGAGAAGAGGAGGTGGGGGTGCTGATAAACTCCATCTCTCAATCCGCAGCTTGGGGAAGTAGTCCAATTGATGTGAACGAGAAATCGTATTCTTTGACCGCGAGTATAACGACGCGGGTTGCGTTTGGGAAGACGTTCAGAGGGGGCGAGCTGGATGATGAGAATTTCCAACAGGTGATCCGCAGAGCGGTTGCTGCGTTGGGAAGCTTTTCGGCGAGTGACTTCTTTCCCGGCGTGGGGTGGATTGTTGATCGGGTGAGTGGCGTTCATGGGCGGCTGGAGAAAAGCTTTGCTGAGTTGGATGAATTTTTTCAACGTGTGGTGGATGATCGCGTCAACTTCAGGGAGACTCGTCGAAATCATGAAGAGAATATTGTTGATGTTTTGTTGAAAATGGAGAGGGATTGCTCCCAATCTGATACACTCAAATTCACCACAGATTGCATTAAGGCACTCATCATGGTAAGCCTAATCTTTCTAAGAAAAAATACTTAAAATCTCACTCACTCTTGACAAATAAGAGAGGAATTTAAAAGCAAATAATTTTTTTAAAAAAATAATGAGCCGTCAATTTTTCAATTTATGGTCCATGTGAAATAGCGATTCTCACCCATCAACACTTAAATATTAGGAAAATATTTTACTCATTACTCCTGTCCTTACCATAATTAAACATTTGACAAATAAGAGAAAAAAATGAAAAAATAGAGATTTTTTTTTTAAAAAAATAGGATAAAACTTAACTCAACACTGTTAAGGAGCCACATTGTCCTTACTACTATTAAATATTTGACAATTATAGAAAAATACAAAAATAATTTTTTTTTTACAAAATGATGAGTTGTCAAGTATTTAATAATAATAAAGACAAAATTGTCTTTACCAATGAGGAGTCCAGTTTTATCTAAAAAAAAATTTGTTAAATTTTCAAGGGTGTCGATGCAAAATTTGGTTGTAAATATGCTAAGTATTTTCCTAAATATTATTCATTTTTAAGTAGATGGTTGCAACCGAACAATACATAAAGTACTATGGTCAGTATCATTTATTAGACCGATAGCTACAAACAAACAACACTTAGTGTGTACTTTTAACTGTCCGTATCAATTTTTTTTAAAATCAAGGAGCTTTCAAGTTTTTATTGGTCGTAAGCCCATAAAACTAATTTGCTAGTTTTTTTATAACTATTTCATTTTTTACTTTTGAAAATTAAATTTATAATAAACATCATTTCCCGTTTCTGGATTTTTTTTTTAATTTCAGAAAACAAATATAATTTTTTAAAACAGAAAACTAAAAAGGAAAAATGAGATTTCAAATTTCCAATTTTGCATAAGCTGGTTGTTTAAGGTGTACTGTGGTTTAGGATATATTTCTAGCGGGAGTAGAAACGGGAGCAGGCATAATTGTTTGGGCTATGGCAGAGCTTGTGAGAAATCCAAGGGTGATGAAGAAGCTACAACATGAGATCAGAAGCTCCATAAAAGGAGATCAAGTGAAGGAGAGCGAGCTCGAAAAGCTCGAGTATCTAAAAATGGTGGTGAAAGAGGTTTTGAGGCTGCATCCACCGGCCACGCTTCTGCTTCCAAGAGAAACCATGTCCCATTTCGAGCTCAACGGATACGACATCGACCCCAAAGCCCATCTTCACGTGAACGTATGGGCCATTGGGCGAGACCCCGAGTGGTGGATTAACCCGGAGGAGTTCTCACCGGAGAGATTTATTGGAAGCAACGTTGATTACAGAGGGCAGAATTTCGAGTTATTGCCGTTCGGAGCTGGCCGGAGAATTTGTCCCGGGATGAATATGGGGACTCTTACGGTGGAGCTAGCGCTGGCTAATATGTTGCTGTGTTTTGATTGGAAACTGGCACAAGGAATGAAAGAAGAAGATGTAGACATGGAAGAGGATGCTGGTCTAACCACTGCAAAAAAATCACTTCTTAAACTTGTTCCACACCCACCTTAATTACATCAGCTCCTAGTTTAACATGTAAAACATTGGTGTTGGTGGGAAAAATTATTCAATAAGCTCGTCATTATAACAATTTTATATTTGTTCAAGTATAATTTTTAGATTATCTCGTACATCCAATGTTGCATGAGGTGTCATAAAATTTATTATGGCTAATAGTGGATACAATGCTAAAAGATTGTGTTGTGTGTGATTATACTATAATAAAATTGGTCTTTGATGTTAGTTTACAACCGACATCGAATTATATCATCGTAGTCTGTCATGCCAGTTTTTGAACGATATACCGACATCAAATTAATCGACATTGTAGGTCTTCAATATTGATTTTCAACCACATGTAATCTCGTGTTATGGTAACCTATGATGTGAGTTACTTTACGAGATGTTGGTTCCCAGCATAGTGGATACAGTGCTAAAAGATTATGCTGTGTGTAATTATAGTTTCTTTAGTTATTAGTTTATTTGCTATCTTGTGTGGTCATGGGTTAACTTCTTCTGTATTTGAATTTGAGGTAGTAAAGAGTGTGTTTATGGTGCATTTTTGTCCTTCAAACAGGCAAAAACGAGAAGCTGAGTATGGAGACCAGTTAGAATAACTCTCTACTCAAGTCGTGGATTGAACTTTTAGTATTTTATCAATTACCACCAACTTAGATATTTTTTTACTAAAAAAAAAGGGAAAAAATATATCTTTTCTCTCCGTATTTATAAAAAATTTAACAACGGTAGTAAAAGATGCTAACGAATGAGTAAAATTAGTATTTTTTATTAAAAAATAAAACAATACTTAAGTGTTAATTAATAAAAAAATACTTTTAAATGTCTCATCATCTATCTTTTTACCGATATAAATTTGTTAAAAATAAGAGAGAGAAATATAGATATTTCTATATTTTTGAGAAAAATATCTAGAAACAGTTCCTTTTAATTTGCATATGTAGCAAAGAGATAATTCTATGCTTTATAGAAAAAATATCTAAAGACAGTTCCCTTTTAATTCAAAGAGACGTCAATTGCCAAAACGAGCATATATCTCTAATCGAGGTCTCGATCTCGATCTCAACCTATCGTACTAAAAAACGAGAAGCAAAGTCATTTGTCACAATTCGCCCACGTGCCGTGTTGTCTGCCGACGCAAGTTTTGGGAAATTGAGATTTTTGACCCCTTTCAATAACCACTCTAGATTTTTGACCCCCTTTTGTTTTTAACTTATTCATGACCCCTTCACCTCAGATTTCTAACCCCTCCCCTTATTTTATCATGTAAATTGACGAAATTGCCCTCATTTCATAATAAATGCATTTATGATATAATAAATTTCCAACCAACCCACCAACCACCAACTTAACAATTCTCATTTTGTTTTTTCAACTCCAAATCACCACACACAGGCAAGTCACGTTTTTTTTTTCCAATACTCAAGATTTTCTCCACGTGATTGTTGGCCCACATTATCCAATCGATCGATCCCCACATAATCCGTTATCTCGAATCCATTGTTTTCACAATATAGGTATGTCCATTTCATCATTTTAGAATATTGTACTTCTTCAAACTTGTAATGATACGAAATTTTATCATTTTTCTAGAAAAAAACGTTATTTTACGGAAAACAGAAATGAAGTCTAGAATTTATCTTGGACCGGGATTGGTACCGGGATGAAATTTAGAATCGGGTTTGAGACCGAGATAGAAGGTAAACTCAAGCCCGGTCCTTCATGTCCAGATACGACCGGGACCGGGACCGAGATGGGGATAAACAGGGGTAGACCGGGATAGGGATTGTCTCGCTCTCGTTGTCTCAATCTCGCTGTATCGCTCTCCTTGACTTGTTCTCACTGACTCGATCTCGCTGTCTTGCTCTCGATGCTTCGCTCTCGATGTCTCGCTCTCGTTGTCTCGCTCTCGATGTCTCGCTCTCGATGTTATGCTCTCGATCTCATTCGCTATCCTTCTTTTTTTCGTTCTTCTCCATGTATGTATATGTTATGCCTCGTCCCGGTCCATTTCGAACCGGGATGAGTCCCAAGATGGATTCCAGAAGGATGGTCTTTCTGGATACCATCTCGGTCTTCATCCCGRTYTWTTTCGAACCGGGATGAGGCCCGAGATGGAATCCAGAAAGTCCATCCTTCTGGAATGGACTTTCAGGGTTTCATCCCGGTCCTAAATCCAYCGGGCTTAAAGCCGAGATGGAACCCTGAAAGTCAAAAATTAAAACAAAACAATGGAAGCAACAATAAATCAAACTTCATAATAACCTTGGCTACTTCAGATAGAGCCGAATGTTGAAATCATTCACACCCACGCAAAGAACGAAGAAAAAAAAGGTAGAAAATCATTCACAATAAGATCGCGAGTTTGAAAGAAAAATTACCTCAATTAGGGAAGAGGGAAAGCTCTGATAGAGACGAAGTGAGGGAGACGAAGAAGAAACGACGGAGATGAACTTTCTGGTTGTGAGGGAGAGACCAGGATGAAAACTGGGATGGACAACGAGATAGTGAATGAGGGAGGGGAAGGACCGAGACAAGGAGGGAAAGGAGGGGAGGGCTGAGTTTGATTTCTTTTTTTAAATTGAGGGTAACTTGGTAATTTTACAAAGCAAAATAAGGGGAGGGGTCAGAAATCTGAGGTGGAGGGATCATAAATAGGTAAAAATCAAAAAGGGGTCAAAAGTCCAAAGTGGTTATTGAAAGGGGTCAAAAATCCCAATTTCCCCCAAGTTTTGTTCCAAGAGATAATTCATATACAAACCTCCACTTTCTGTCCATACATATATAGTATATATCAACTTCATCTCTAAAATTCAATAACAATTACAGTAAACCCAAAATGCATAGCCTTGATCAATTGATGCACACCATTTTGTTGACCTTGGCCATTCCCCTGTTCTTGCTCCTCCTCCTCAAAACAAAGACAAAATTTTCAACACAGAAAAATAAGAACCAACTTCCWCCAAGCCCTCCAAAGCTCCCTTTGTTGGGCCACTTGCATCTCATCGGCTCCCTCCCCCATCGCTCCTTATGGAAGCTTTCAACAAAATACGGCCCCGTCATGCGCCTCCACCTCGGCTCCGTCCCGACCATCRTAATCTCCTCCGCCGCTGCCGCACGAGACATGTTTAAGCTCCACGACCTCGCTTCTTGCAGCCGCCCTCCCTTATCCGGCAGCGGAAGATTGTCSTACAATTTCCTCGACATAAGTTTCTCCCCATACGGCGACCACTGGAGGGAGGTTCGAAAAATCTGCGTGCTTGAGCTGTTCAGCGTCAGGCGGGTGCAGTCGTTTCGGGGGGTTAGAGAACATGAGGTGGGTCTGCTTATAAACTCCATCGCTCAATCCTCAACTTCCGGAGCTCTGGTGGATGTGAGCGAAAAATCGTATTCTCTGACCGCGAGTATAATTACGCGGGTTGCTTTTGGGAAGAGCTTCAGAGGGGGTGAATTAGATAATGAGAARTTTGAAGAGGTTATCCGTAGAGCTTTGGTGGTAATGGGAAGCTTCTCGGCGACTGACTTTTTCCCAAGTTTTGGTTGGATTATTGATTGGATGAGTGGCGTTCGTGGGAGGTTGGAGAAGAGTTTTTTGGAGTTGGATTCTTTTTTTCAACATGTAATTGACCACCGCCTCAAATTTGGGGCGACTTGTGATGATGACAACAATATTTTGGATGTGTTGTTGAAGATGGAGAGAGAGCGCTCTGAATTTGATGCTCTGCAACTCACTAGAGACTGCATCAAGGCACTTACCATGGTAAAAAGCTTCATTTTATAGCATATATGAGATTTATTAGATTGCTCTCTCTTCTTAGTGGTTAAATATATTTATTAGATTGCTCCTCCCTGTTCAAAATCTGTCGAAACCAATTCACTGCATCTATGTTTTTCCTACGTACATGTTTTAATTCATGTTTTAAATTTTTTTAATACGAGTGGAGATGGAACTCACAATCTAATTATGTCAATTACCATTTAGTATATATTCGTTTTGGCAAATATATGTTTTAATTAATCAAACAATTTGGATGTTTTTTATATACGTGCTTTAGTTTAAATTTTTTTTAATGTTTTTCAATTTATATCATTTTTATCGGTAGATATTTGATGTGATTGTTGGGTAATTAAGTTTATGCGGCATATAATAATACTTGATAGAAATTTAGAGGAAAATTAAAAATCTCAATTTCTGTCCACGTTTAGGGAAGGAATTAGAAATTTCCCTCCAATTAACTCACCTAATTCCCTCTATTGAAAAATCTTAAGACTAAAATGAATCTTTGAAAGAATAAAAACTAAAACATATATATAACTTTTTGTATTTTTTATATTTATTAGTTTTTGTGTGCGTCTTAATTAGGATATATTTATAGCCGGAGTGGACACGGGAGCCGGAACAATTGTTTGGGCCATGACAGAGCTGGCGAGGAATCCAAGGGTTATGAAAAAGCTACAAGACGAGATCCGAAGCTCCATAAAAGAAGAAGATCGAGTAGTGAAGGAGAGCCACCTCGAAAAGCTTGAATATCTAAAAATGGTGGTCAAAGAAGTTCTGAGGCTTCATCCGCCGGCCCCACTTCTCCTTCCACGAGAAACAATGTCCCATTTCAAGCTCGGCGGCTACGACATCGAACCCAAAGCCCATCTCCACGTCAATATTTGGGCCATCGGGCGGGACCCGGAATCGTGGACAGACCCGGATGAGTTCCTGCCGGAGAGATTCGTGGGAAGCAACATCGATTTCAGAGGGCAGAATTTTGAGCTGTTACCGTTCGGAGCTGGCCGGAGGAGCTGCCCGGGGATGCACATGGCCACCGTTGCGGTGGAGCTGGCGCTGGCTAATATGCTGCTGTGCTTTGATTGGAAATTGCCGCAAGGGATGAAAGAAGAAGATTTGGACATGGAAGAGGATGCTGGTCTGACGGTCACCAAGAAATCGCCTCTTCATCTTATTCCTGTCGAATACTTCAAATAAAAAAGTAGGTCAAATTTGTACAATTTGAGGGGGTAAAATGTTGATGCTCTAGTACGTTTTCGGTTAAATTTCCCCATTTGTTAACGTTCTGTTTCTTGTTATATTATGCTAATCATATTTGGTACCATGTTTCTTGGTTCCATTTTTAATTTTTTTTAGTACGGAGTCAAACTCGAATCCACGACCTTTTGTTTGAGAACCAGGTTACCAAAGGGGTCTAAATTTTCTATTTTAGTTCTAATGTCATGGTTGTGAAACGTTATACTAACTAACGGAAGAAGACCAAATAAAAATTCAATGAAGCGCATGATAAATACATTTTAAATTGAATAATTATATAATCCACTTACTCTTATTTTATGTAACTACTGACTAGTAAAGTGCCATATATGGTGCCAAATTACTTATAAATCCTTTGGCACCTAATCAATCCAATCAACATACTATATCTAACTCATGATCTTAATAATAAATACTTATTAACACTTCATATAATAAGTACAATCATTTCTAGGAAAAAAATAATCTGTGATATTAATGTATCAATGCATTTAAATCAAGGAGAGTTTGAGATTTAAATTAATCAAGGAGAGTTTGAGATATAAAAAGTGCGATTTCATCGTCCACTCCTCCACTTATACGTCAACAAAATCTTTTCTCAAATTAAGGGGTCGTGAGTTCGATCCCCATCTCATATGTTGTACTAGAAAAAAAAAACTTTTCATATTCTTACTTCCTCAAGCTCATATAAAATTAGTCCATGCAATAATAATACTTCAAAATTTGCGGTATTTTCTACAAATAGATACTCTTGTGTAGCTGTCTTTTTGTCTCCATCTTTTTGACAACGTTGCTATTTTGGTTTCCACAGGGTTGTAATTTCATCGGGTCGGATCAGTTTCGAGCAAAACCGAATCAACCCTAAAATTTTCGGTTTCCTTCGGGTCGGGTCCTGATCGAGTTGGGTGGGGCTTTGTTTTTTTGTTTTTTTATTTTTTTTGGAGAGAGAGGGAGTGGGCGAATTTATTTGTAATTTCTCATATATTTCCTTCAAAATTGGAGAAATTATTGGAGAGGAGAGGTTTGAAAGTGAAGAGAGATCCACGAAATTTTCTAATTTCCATACTAAAATTGAATAGAAAATTAAAAGATCTTTGATCTTGAAATTATAATTGAATCTAGAAATTTCTCATCTTCAACCCTTATATTTCCTTCTTCCAATCAAATTAAATTGAATTGAGAGGAAAATCGAGAATTTCTTATTCAGATTGGGAGAGAGAATTGAAATTTGCTTTTTCAAATGGGGGAGAGAATTGAAATTTCCTTTGTGAGAGAGAGAAGATTTAGTCGTCGTGCCGTCAGTGCCGATTACTGCCATTTAAGATTGCTGTCGCGCTGGTTGCTGTCGTTTGGGGTCGCCACCGCGTGCTGCCGTTGTGGCGGTGCCGCCTGCTGCTATTTGGGCCACCGCTTGGGGTTCTTCTGTTGTTTGCTTAATTTCTGCCGCCCGCTGCTTTTCTGCTATCCGAGTCACTGTCACCGACTGCCTTGGAGGTTGGCGTCGCCTGCGGCCGTGGAGGTCGTTGTCATCTGCTGTTTGGAGGTCGTCGCCGCATGCCGCCGTCTCATGTCGCCTGAATCGTCGTTCCTTTGTTCCTTCGTTTCTTCGTTCCTTCATTCCTTCGGGTAACGGCGGCTTATCAAGGGAGAGCAGAGAGCAACAAAGAATATAAGATTTAGAATTTAAGCTAGATTCAATTTCTAGACACATACATAAATTTCTAGATATAAAAAGCATTCTTGTAAAAGCATTTCAATCAAGAAAGAAAAGAGAACAATATTCTTTTCTAGTATGTTCTTCAGTTTACAAATTTCTTCTCTTCAAGGTTGGTGAGATTGAGAGTGAATTTTAACAAGTGCTTATCAAGGTTTCCAACAGAAATTTCTAATCAAAACGATCCGTAAGATTTGCAAGTGTGAGCTCAATCGAATTTTATGCTCATATTCATCCTACTACATTCTTCTTCCAGTCCTGCAAATCGCCCATAGCTTAAAGTTTTGGAAGCGCCATAGCATAAAGTTTTGGAAGTTGACAGAGCTGTAGAAAAACCTCCTCGGAAGAACTTTGCTTCTCCGTGAAAACCTCTTCCAAATTTGTCACTTAATTTGGACCTCGTTCAATTGCCCCAATGTTAATGTGTAGATGGTTTAGAGGTGATTTCATAGCCGTTGAGCTTCAAGTGATGACTGATGACATGGGATTCCTCTTGAAGGTAGAAATTGGTAGGGGACTGGTAAGCACAAACTGCGATGAAAGTAAAAGAACGCAAGAAAAATATATAATCACCCAAAAGACTCCTTATGGATTAAAAATGGTGGTGAAAGAGGTTCTGAGGCTGCATCCACCGGCCACGCTTCTGCTTCCAAGAGAAACCATGTCCCACTTCGAGCTCAACGGATACCACATCGATCCCAAAGCCCATCTTCACGTGAACGTATGGGCCATCGGGCGAGACCCCGAGTGGTGGACTAACCCGGAGGAGTTCTAGAGCGTTGATTACAGAGGGCAGAACTTCGAGTTCTTGCCGTTCGGAGCTGGCAGGAGAATTTGTCCTGGGATGAATATGGGGAGGACTCTTACGGTGGAGCTGGCGCTGGCTAATATGTTGCTGTGTTTTGATTGGAAACTGCCGCAAGGAATGAAAGAAGAAGATGTAGAGACATGGCGAAGAGGATGCTGGTCTAACCACTGAAAAAAAATCACTGCTTAAACTTGTTCCACACCCTCTTTAATTATTTCTTATTTTAACATGTAAGCATGGGTTGGTGGGAAAAATTATTCAATAAGCTCGTCATAACTGTTCTCTCTTGTAACAATTTTATCTGTTCAAAGTATTTTTTTAGATTATCTCATACATCCAATGTTATATGAGGTATCATAAAATTTATTATAGCCGTTGTGGGTATTAAAGCATTGTGTTGTGTGTCATTATACTATCACAAAATAGTATAATAAAATTGATGTTTGATGTTAGTTTAGAACCGACATCGAAATGTGTGTCATCGTAGTCTACCATGTTAGTTTTTGAATGATGTACCGACATCAAATTAACCGATATTGTAGGTCTTCAATCGATTTTCAACCACATGGAATCTCGTATCATCGTAGCTTACGATATCGGTTACTTTACGATGTTGGTTCCCAAATGACGATAGTGGATGCAATGCTAAAAAATTGTGCTCTGTGTAATTATAGTTTCTTTAGTTATTAGTTTTATTTGTTATCTTGTGTTAACTTCTTTTGTATTTGAATTTTAGGTACTAAAGAGTGTGTTATGGTGTGTTTTTGTCCTTCAAACAGGCAAAAAATGAGAAGCTCATTATAGAGACCAGTTAGAACCGTTTACACAAGTGTTCTTCCAAGATCTTATATATTCCTTCCATCATGAACTCTAAGCCCAATTATGATCTACCAAATAAGGACTGTCGAAGTCCAGGACCATAGCTACCAAAGATTTGAATTGATGACTAAAATCTTGTATTTAGAAGACCAAGAATTAACTGTATGATGAGTCTTTCATCTATATACATGAGAGTGGTTGATGGTTGTGAAGATCGTGAAACAACTCATGTATTTAATTGACATCTAAAAAATCTATTGAGTTGGGAGGTTACAGAGTGTTACATTATTTGAAACTATTAAAAAAGACCTATAGTTAAAAAGGTTGTTAAATGACTTTGAGATTATTTGTTGAAATATAACACTAACTATCTAGAAATTAAATAAATATATAAAAAGATGCTCTAGAAATATCTTAGACTTTTCCCTTAAGTTCCAAAGAATTCTAGAGAGATCTTTTGGATAAGAATAGGTAAAGAAAGATCTAGAATAGGTAAGAATGAGAGGTGCCTAAAAAGTTCTTTTTACTTGGATTACAGATCTCTTTTCTATAAATAGGAGAGATGAAGCATGAATCAAGTGAAGTGAGTGAAGAAAGGGAGGAAAGTTAAAAAGTGCGAGAAATCTTCCATCAAATAGTATCCAGTATTTGAAATAAGGTTTTTCTTGAAGTTTAAAAACATGAGAAGGAACCTTAAAAATATCGGGAGTAATTTTCTCCGACGAAATATATGGGTTGGAAAAAATATTAGGAAGAGTGGATCGGCAAAGGTCACTCCCGACGTATGAGCTTTAATACTAATTGATTTCTATTACTGCATGTGCTTTTGTCCTCCAACCTCAAACAAGAATTAGGCGTAAGTTGATTTCTATTGCTGCATCTTGTTTTGTCGTCCATCTAAAACAAGAATTAGGTGCAGGTACAATACGTTAACACGTGGATTGCACTTTTAGTATTTTATCAATTACCATTAACTTAGACAATTTTTTGCACTTTCAGTATTTTATCGATTACTATTAACTTGGACGATTTTTTACTTAAAAAGGAGGGAAAAAATTATATCTTTTCTCCTCTTATTTATAAAAAATTTAATAATAATTAGCCAAAGATGCTAACATATAAGTAAAACTAGTATTTTTTTTTATTAAAAAATCAAACAATACTTAAAGTGTTAATTAATAAAAAAAATACTTTTAAATGTCTCATCATTTATCTTTTTATCCATATAATTGACATATACTAGATTGTGAATTCGATC